AAATTGCAGTCGGAAATATTAAATCGTCGGACTCGTATTAGATTAAAGGAGGGTCCGGGTTTTAGCAGTATACAGTTCGTTAAAAGGGGCGGACAATTTTGAAGGCACACACATGTGTATATTTCGTAGTGCGTGCATCGCATGGTGGTGGTGGTGGTGGATAGCAGGTGGCCGTTTCGGGTTTGAGAGTACCGTAAATAAGTTGGCCGCGAAGCTCGAGTGTTAAAATTAAAACGTGCCCAGCCCCACTCGTACGAGACTCCCGATTGTACGAGTGCGCGGCCCGCTGCGATATGGAAAGCCTCCCGCGGCGCTCCAAACAATCGCCTCCACTCGCTTCGGAATGGATTTAATTCCGGATAAATTCGATTTGGCTCTGGATCTGTCGCAGAACCCCGTTTTCGCGATCAGGTGCGTTCGTCTCTATCACACCCATTCTCTTTCTCTCCCTATCGGTGTGCACTCTTCAACGTTGAAAACCTCACCCTATAACCAGTTACATTGCAAATTTGATTTGAAACGAACGTCCTCCTGCGTGGAATTAATTTTGATCAAACGCGTCACTCTATAAATAGGATACATAAAAGGATTAAAACAATGAATTAACTAAATAAGTTTGGAAAATTTAGTATTCTCAAATAATATGTCTAACTTCACCTGTTTGAAAAACATAAGGTCCTAAAAATTTATTCAATATGGCCTTTGCAAGCACTTATGCACTAAGTTCGTTCTTGTTCAACCTACTAATGGACCATATAACAGAAGAGATCAGACTCAAACTAGGATACAAGATAGGGACCCAAAATGTTAATATAGTTTGCTATGCCGAAGACGCCGTTTTGATTGCAAGTAACGAAGATGACCTGCAAAGACTAGTGTAGCTCTTCAACATAGCAGCTAAGTAATACAATATGAAAATATCAGCGGAGAAAACAAAATGTATGGTATTATTCAAAGAACCAAGACGCTGGAAACTACAAGTTGAAGACTCTATAAAACAACAAGTTATGCATGTTAAATATCTAGGTGTAGAAATTACAAGTTATCGAGATCGACGTATTGTACGACCAATACTAACATATGGTACCGAGACTACAGTAGAAACAAATAAGACTAAATAGAGGATGAGGGTGATGGAGATGAAAGTCTTGAGTTGAAGGTGACACTGCGAGATAGGCAGACCAACACCTCTATCAGAGAAAGATGTAACATACAGGATGTAGTAAAATCGACAACAGTAAGAAAAGAAGAGTGGAAGGAGCATGTGGAAGGAATGGATGAGAGGAGATTGGCCAGAATATAAAGACCACAACGACGACCGCCCAACAGATGGGCACAGAGGTGGTTCCTCGGCTACGGAGTAAAGTCCAAACATGAGGCTTGACAAAGAGGAATGCATCCCTAGTCGAAGGTAGAAGAAGCAGATCCGTATCTTGTGTTTGTAAATTTGTCAATATTTTTCTAAGTCCACCTTCCTTTATGATGACCTATAGAAATGGATCACAAACTTGATATTTAGCTTCAAAATTTAGGTTTTTAAATGACAAGAGGTACAAGAATGAGTCTTAAGGAAAATTCCACATGGTAATCTTAAACTTAGTCTAAATAAACCAAGGACACGGAAATATTAAGGAAAAAAAGTGAAACGAGGAATACTAGGAATCGGATGTATTCTAAGTACTAGAAACAACCTGTTTGTCATCTCAATATCTTTACGATAAGGTATAAAAATAGTCGTCAATAATGAATGACTCAATATCGCTGAACTATAAACAGGGTGGTTTATTGGGTAGGCGTTTCATATAAACGAGGGCGAGGCAATAAAATCATCACGTGCGGACCGGGGAAAGTGTTCAATTTGGCGCCTCTTCCAGTAGATTACTATCTACCCTCGAACGAGAACGACGGTACCCGGTTAAACGGTCGAAGAGAGTCGCATTCCTCTTACGCGCGACCATTCTCATTTGTCACGCGCAAATCCCTGCTATTCAGCTTTGATCGCACGCAGTAGATATTTTGATTAAAACGGTGTCAAGCCCTCAAAAAAGAATATATCCCGATTTAGCTGTGTGTAATTTGAAATTTTGCGCTCATTTCAAATATAAAGTAAACGAATCTTGGATAAATACGAACGTTTACATAAAATGCATAACAGAATAAGATAACTCATTGTAAACGTTTTATCACGTCTTATAATTTATTTCAAACAAAGCTCAGAAATAACAGGTTGTAAAGCAGTGTGAAATCAGCAGCTTGTTATCTTGGTAAATGTAAAAATATGAGATAAAGTGAGAAATTTATTAAGTTTTTTTTTGGACACGAAATCGTCGTAAAATCTGAACGTTCATCAAAAATGTTGTTTAATAAGATTATTCCGTTGTATAAACCAAGGACAATGGGCTTATCAAAAAGCACACCGTTTTTAAAAGTAAATGTAGGTATTAAACGGTAACACATCTGCATTGTTATCTTTCCACTATTTTAACATTATTTCATAATATTTGTTCCCGCACGCTCGGAGATGAGTGTTTATTGCGAAATAATTTTAAATTATGACTGTGTTTTTAATAACTTTACGCTTACAGCAATGTGGAAACGTTGAGTTTATTAAAACAACGGTTTATTATAAATAATTTATTTTTTTTTTCATATTTTTATATACACATTTTCTATTCACAAAAAATACAACGAAAACCTAATAATTCTACAATTACATTTTCTTTTTAAATTATAAATAATGTCTTTGTTATTAATATTTTTTTTAAATATAGACACTTAAAGTTTATTCCTAATTTTTGTTTTAATTTACTTATGATTACTATTTATGATTATTATTCGAATAATAACTTTTATTGTTATAATAATTTATATTATTGCTTCTATTTACAAATCAGCACTATTTACAAATTCTTATTTCAAAAACAAAAACTACTTTCGACAACGTTTACAGACATCAACAATCTACGAAAAAATACAAACATTATTGGGCATTAAAAAATTTTTTGATTGTATATTATTTCTAACAACCAAAATCCTCGATATAATGGATCTCGGGTTATTCCTAAAGTTGCTCTATCCATGCTCATAAATAATAACTCATTCCCCGAGTTGTTTGTATGTATATATATATATATATATATATATATATATATGTTGTTGTGGTCGATCTGAGGTTCGTTCTTCCTGTTGGTTCCCTTTGGAAAGAGGCAAGGATCGCATTTTTCTTTAAAACCATTTTCCTCGAAATTTTCATAATAAAGCCTCCACATCTCAACATCTCATCATAAAATAAACTCTTTTAGCTTTAATTTGAGATATAATTCGTCTCTTTACCTCATTAAATAAGACAGAAGCGATTTTTTTAAATTTTTAATTTTTTGACGAATTTTATCTTTTTCTTAAAAACCATTTTCCTTGAAAATTTCGTATTAAAACCCGTATATCTCAACATCCCATCATAAATTAGACCCTTTTAGCTTAAATTTGAGATGTAAATCATTTCTTTATCTCAATAAATAAGATAGAAGCGACTTTTTTAAATTTTCAATTTTTTGCCCAATTTTGTTCTTCTTAAAAAAAAAATTTCCTAACNACATCCGTATATCTCAACATCCCATCATAAAATAGACCCTTTTAGCTTAAATTTGAGATGTAAATCATTTCTTTATCTCAATAAATAAGATAGAAGCGACTTTTTTAAATTTTCAATTTTTTGCCCAATTTTGTTCTTCTTAAAAAAAAATTTCCTAACAATTTTCATAATAAAGCCCCCATATCTCAACATCTCATCGTAAAATAGACCCTTTTAGCTTCAATTTAAGATATAAATCATCTCTTTACCTCAATAAATAAGATAAAACCGATTTTTTTTAATTTTTAATTTTTTGGCCAATTTTATGTTTTTCTTTAAAACCATTTTCCTCGAAATTTTCATAATAAGATCCCTACGTCTCGACATCGCATCATAAAGTAGCCCCTTTTAGCTTCAATTTGAGATATAAATCGTATCTTTATCTTAATAAATAAGATAGAAGCGATTTTTTTTAATTTTCAATATTTTGGTGAATTTTATGTTTTTCTTAAAAACCATTTTCCTCGAAATTTTCATAATAAAACCCGTATATCTCAACATCTCATCACAAAATAGACCCTTTTAGCTTCAATTTGAGATATAAATCGTCTCTTTATCTCAATAAATAAGACAGAAGCGATTTTTTTTAATTTTCAATTTTTTGCCCAATTTTATTTTTTTCTTTAAATCTATTTTCCTCGAAATGTTCATAATAAAACCCCTATATCTCAACATCCCATCATAGAAAAGATACTTTCAGCTTCAGTTTGAGATATAAATCGTCACCTTATCTCAATAAATAAGATAGAATCGATTTTTTAAAATTTTCAATTTTTTGGCCAATTTTATGTTTTTCTTAAAAACCATTTTCCTCAAAATTTTCATAATAAAACCCTTAGATCTCAACATCCCATCATAAAATAGATCTTTTTAGCTAATATAAGATATAAATCATCGCTTTATTTCAACATCTAAATTAAGAACGTTTTTTTTTAACTTTCATAAAAAAAATTTTTTCCATCAAATATGTCAATATCTTTTTAGATTTTTTTCTGTTGGTTCGTAGTGACTTTGGAAGAAAAAGGGAACCAACAGGAAGAATTCATCCATTCTTCGGATCGACCACAACAAGACATACTTCTCCATCCGTGAAGCACTACGCATTACCATATTATTGTATATGTATAAATAAATCAAGGACGGTAGTTCTAGTTTTAGTTGTTATTCAGCGTTAGATTATTGTATAATTTTCATTGAACTAAAACTAGAACTAACACTAGACCTAGAACTAGAAAGCTTCGGGTTTCAAGTTCTAGCTCTAGTGTTAGTTCTAGTTTTAATTGTTACTCAGCATTAGATTGTTGTATAATTTTCATTGAACTAACTAACACTAGACCTAGAACTAGACACATTCGAGTTTAGTCTCAAACTAACAACATTACAAAACACATATAGAATAAATTAAGCATTTGCTAATTTAAAATGTGAAATAGTAGTTGCCTACCCATGCGTGACGTCACGAACGGGCCTTCGATCTATACACCCTTTCCCGAGATGTAGCAATCCTCTTAGATTCTACCATCGTTGGTATAAATATAAAGGCAGTTAGACTATCCGCAACGGTGTGGATAGATTAATATAATCCGTTATATCAAGATTTTACTGTATTTATATTTTTTTCGCAATAATTTTTGAACACCCAATATTTATATGTACAGTACGGTATTTTTTTAAACACTAAAGATTCCTTTTTGTTTCAATTACTTCGGCGAACGACAAATATTGCAACTAAACATCACGTGACTCCATTTTTTAATGTATTTACAATATTTAAAATTAAAATTGTTTTCAAAACAAGATAATAATTGAGCACACAAGATTTCCATATAAAATGATTAGATCAAGGAAACGATTTGAGTCAAAAAACTTGTTTTAATCGCAATAAAATGGTAAAACCGATAACTTTCACCTCGTCCAATCCTCCGAGGGTGACATACCAAAAGCAGTTGACATTTGATCCCTAACGTTACCTTGATGAACGCGACCGAAAATAAATTCCGTCGAACATTTATTATTGCCTACATTGCTACCGTCATGATGATGATGATTCGTTTGTTTGCCAATAAGACTTTCTATGGAAAACTCACTCTTTGTTTTCTTGTTTTGGATCTCCGTGGCGAAATCAATACTATCCGGAGAAGGTAATGAAGCTTGTAGACCGGCGGTAACCGTTGTTGGTGTAACCGGAACGGGTTTACAAATGGTCGGTTGGGTTAATCCCATGGTGGCGGCGGCTAAAGGACCGAGACCGAATCGGGATAAATCCATGGGGGAAATTAATGGGAGAGCTGTATTTGGTATGGAAGGGACGTAACCGTAAGGTCCGTGAAGATTCGGATGGGCGAATAAACCGTAGTTGTCTTGGTTGAGGAAGGAGGCTACCATTGAAGAGGCGTGGTGGTCTCGAAGAAGAACGTTCGTTGAGGGTCTTTTATAACGTTTTCGACGACGTAAAAAGCTACCGTTATCAAACATGTCTTCTGCTAAGGGATCTAATGTCCAATAATTTCCTTTACCTGGAAGAGAAAAATAAGATATATTTTAGATAGATTTCGGTTAAAAATGTTATCTTCAGGATACTTATGTTACATCAAGAATCAGAAATGAAATATTTTTGTGACTTTCTTTTTCCTTCAAAGAGTGAAGAAGAAAAATCGGATAATTTTCGGAAAGTTGATACATATTCTATGCTCAAAATTGAATGATGATGACTTTTCAGGGTAAACATAAAAGTAATGGTTGCCTTAGCCACTGGTGGAAAAAATTCAGTTTTCTTCAAAGCGTCATAAAGTGCATATCTGCTAATACATGGTTTTATGTGCAAATTTTGGAACTGGAGAGAACCATTGATGTTCTCTTTAGATTTTTCTGAACAGTAAATATTCCGACAATGCATGAGATATTCTTCAGCTGATCCTTTTTTCTACTACCGAGATGAAAAATCTTTTTTTATGTACTCATGCATATTTCTAAATTTTTGAAAAGGATTGATCTTGGTTACAAACTTTTAGAGGATTTCTTCTTAAGTTGACCATTAAGTGGCCAAGCTTATTTTTTCGTCAACAATGTTTTTTGATACCAAGTGCTGCCTAATGATAAAATTGTACAATATTGCTGCGATTAAAACATTGCCTTATTTATTATATTGATATTGCAATACAAAACGGTTGATAACTCAGAACAAAAACCTGAAAGGAACCCGAATTAATCATAGAGAAAATTTTGATTGCCAACATGATGGAATTTATTATTCTTTTCAAGTTCTCTTCAAAAAGAAAAAACTTGGTGTGTTAAATTTGCAATTGGACTTTACATAAAAGTACATTATTATTAAGTCCTTCATGTTGGCCGATATAACGAAAATATTTGCATAACTTTCAATACTACGTCTACATACTCTAAATGATCTTGTTTTTTTTCTTTACATTCTTAGCTATCAAGGTCTTAATCATACACTGCTCATTGTATGTTTTGTATGTAGATACGATACAAAACTAGAAATCGATATATTATGAGAAAACAATAATCGGTATGAATGCAGTGTGTATCATGTATGTCACATATCCAACATAAACATGTCAGAATGGTGACTTAATAAACAGCATAAACCAAACTAAAGGAAAAATTAATGGTAAACAAAAAGTTATGGAAAACATGATTCCAGTTTTTCACATCTAAATCAAAACCAATAGTAATACTTAAAAATTATCTAATATTAAATTCAAAACATTAATTTTGAGTTACTTTCTATTTAATTTTGAACATGTTTCGATTCAAGCAATTATCTTCAGGGGCACCGATTAAGATGGGTAAACTAATACAACTAGATAATAAAAAATGAGACATACCTGGATTTCCCGGTTCCCTAGGAATCTTGATGAAACAATCATTTAGTGACAAATTATGCCTTATGGAATTTTGCCAAGCAGGAAATTTATCTCTGTAGTATTGAAACCTGGTCATAATAAACTCGCAGATGCCGCTAAGCGTTAACTTCTTTTGCGGTGATTGTAAAATAGCCATGGTGATGAGTGCGATATAAGAATAGGGTGGTTTGATAAGCTGCTGGCCTGCGGTTCTCTTCTTCTTGTCGTCGCCGGGTGCTGGCGCGCCCCCGCGCAGATCTAACGGCGCCTCAACGGCCGCCTCAGCTACGCGCCGCGCGTCATCCTCCGTGGTCATCGTCGGCACCCCAATCACTGTGACACCATCGCGCGGGCTAAAACTACCCGGGACCTTTTGCACTATACTCTCAATGGAATACAAGTCGAAAAAGTTTGAACTTTTGTAATAAACCGTCGCACGCCTTCACCTATCGTTTTATCTATGCCCTTATCTTTTCTCTCTCTCACTCTCTCGAGAAAATTTAATGGGGATTCGTGTATTTGTCGTCGTCGGTTCGGATATTCGCCGGCGACGTTCGTCGTGTGACTGAGGGGGCGCCACGGCGGCTCCGCACCTCCAAATCCGCCAATGTTATTTCAATATTATCTCGGAAAGAACAATGATGGTACAAGCGGCCGCATTTCCGGATAGGTTTGTGCGAAAACAAAGCGGTCGCAGTGGGGGCAACGGCAACCCCCGTAAATGGCACGCCTACCGCCCCTATCATTGCTCCGCCTCTGCTACCCTTCTCTATCAATCCCCTAAAAACACCGAACCGTTTTTAGGGTGGAGAGGGGTTTACCTATCTTCATCCAAGTCTTGTTTGCGTTCCTATACAATTTGTATGGGATTCTATACCCTAAGTTATGTAATGGTTGTTGATTCTTAAAATAATAATTTTATTACCTATAACAGAATAAATCATTATTAATTTTTTTATATATATAAATTATATTAGACTATTGTTTATGGAAACATTAATAAAATGTATAAAGAAAATATATCCATTGGTTTAAACAAATTTTTGTTTGTGCATTGATGATATATGTATAGTATATATATCCTATGATTTATATAACATATTATGTTTTAAGTCATAAAAGCAACAAATTTCAAGTAATTTTTTTTAAAATTTTGCAAATACATATAATATTATACAATAAAATCCTCAAAGCAAATAAAAACTCCCTACAAATAATAAATAAGTAGTTATAAAACATCCCTTTAAAAAGACAATAAAAATAAAACCACCAGGAATATTAGGAACAAAAAGGTATGTAGTGGGGAAAACCTGGTGGGAGAAGAAGAGTTGAACGGCGTCGCGACGCTAACAAATAAAATCGCCACGTGGCATACGCAACCCCACCGTGAGTAGGATATGTCGGGCGTGGCCAAAGCCGCAGGAAGTTATCATTAGCCACTGGCCTGAAATAGGAGGAGCCAGAACGTCTCTTTGTAAGGTAAATAATATTCTGTACAATGTATACAGCCGTATTGAGCTTAGACTGTGAATGCAACTTAGAGTTTTGAATGATGTGTTGTAGATTCTGGCGATAGCGACGACGTTTTGCTTAGACTGTGAGGATTTTGTTATATCACGTTTACCGCGTCGATGATTTCGAATTCTCGGTCGCTCCGCTTCCATTATAATTCAAAGCGGGGTCCTTTGTTCCCTACCGATCCTTTGCCGCAATGTTTTAAATTGTTCCGTCTCTCTTTCTTAAAGAGGAGATCCAGCAAATATTTATCGCCCCTAGATGAATTACTCTATTGTATTATATTTCAAAAGGATTTCATGGTTTTCATAAAGCATTTAAGTTTTTTTAAACTTTCTTCTAATAATTAAATCTTCTATGAGCCGCCTAGAACTAACACTACACCTAGAACTAGAACATTCCGGTTTAGCTCTTTTAAGACATGCACAGCTAAACTCGAATATTTGTAGTTCTAGATCTAGTGTTAGTTCTAATGGTAGTCTTACTTCTTGTTTTAGCTGTTATTCTAACACTAACTAAAAACATTCGGGTTCTCTCAATACAGCTAAACTCGAATGATTCTAGTTCTAAATCTTGTGTTAGTTCTAGTGATAGTGTTAGTGCAAAACTAGAACTAACACTAGTCCGACAACTAGAAATATTCGGATTTAACTGCACGTCTCTTAAGACGGCTAAACCTGAGTGATTCTAGTTCTAGGTCTTGTGTTAGTTCTAGTGGTAGTGTAAAAGTAGAACTAACACTAGACCTAGAACTAGAAACATTCGGGTTTAGCAACCCAACCCAACCCAACCCGAAACTTTCTAGTTCTAGGTCTAGTGTTAGTTCTAGTTTTCTTATTCAGTGCTAAATTGTTGTATATTACCGTCTTAAGAGATGCACGGCTAAACCCGAAACATAGAACTAAACCTAGACCTAGAAAGTTTCGGGTTACACTATATAAAACCATCATTGTTAAAATCACAATCTAATGAAGTGCATTGTAATAGGTTAGAATTGTTTATTCTACAATTCAAAAGGCTCATGTAAATCGATAGATTAAGTCGTATATCAGTCTTCTATATCTTCTATATCCAGAGATCTACCGATAAATCGATAGGGTTGGCAACATGGACTCATGGCAACACTATGGGTCTTCCTATTAGGACTAATCTGCGCAAAAATGGTTACAAAAAACCTTTCGCAAGACCAAAAGGACATCAGGAGGGAAAGGTGTCTTGACTTTGTGGAATCGATTAAAAATGATCCCCATTTGCTGGAACGTGTCATTATTGGGATGAGTCTTGCATCAATCTTCAATCTCTCCAAGGTCTAAAAAAGCAAAAATGAGCAAGTCAAAGATCAAATGTCTACAAACAGTTTGTGCCCCAAAGACAAACCGTCAATCAAGACTTTTACCGAGAAGTTTTTGAAAAACATCGAAAAAGGGTAATTCGTGCAGGACCATACATCAAGAACAACTGGGTGTTGCATCACGATAATGCGCCTTGTAACACAAGTTCAATGTATTATTGAGCAATTTCAATAATGTGACTTCCCAAGATTGAAAATCACCTCTAGGGAACTCATTTTGGGACACTCAAAAACATTCAAACGGCTGTAACCGACCAGCTGAAGGCTATTCCAGTATCGGAGTTTTCATGAGGATTGAAATTATAGGTTCCAAATCTTTTTTCGCTTTTTCTTTTTCATTTAAATTGACATTTCGTGTCTGTAGCTCCATCTATTGAGTACTAGATTTATCGAAACATTTTTGATTACAGTTTTCTTTGGATATATTTGATGAAAGGAACAAAACAAGGTTAATTAAAATTGTAAAATTGACGAAAACAATTTATTTTTTAAATATTCTCCACATACCAAATATCATAGGGATTTTCACTAACCTCCCTAGCTTTTCCCATTGAACAAAAGCACAGTTTTAATTCATCTAAAATCCTTTTATCATAATCACTAGCCATTAATGCTAACAAAAAAGTCACCTAATAAAAATAAATAATAGGATAGTGTTATCATTGTTAAATTTGTTTTACCTCTTTTACATAACAATCAAATTTTTCATTCGAGGATAATAACAAGGTTAATTTTTTTACTAAAACCCAATCTCGTTTTAGTATAGATTGTCGTATATGGTTTAAAATATAACCCGGTTTATGCCACATGGTATCATCTGACTCCGTTTCTATGTTCCTTTTGCAATCATTAACTCGACTATACTTTTTGCGTATCCTAATTTTTTTAAGGGAATCTATACTATGGAGGATATCAGTTTTTTTAAGGGCATTGTATTTATCATACACATCCGTTCGCCACATATCATATTGTTCCTGTGCTGTATCACATTTTTCTTTTGATTTCTTCTTTATTGTAGACCCAAGTTGTTTTGGACCATGTTTTTTTTCTTTTTTCAATTTATGCGGAGACATAATTAATTTATTAATAATTTTAACCTAAAATTTAGGTAACTGTCAAAAACACGTTTTTGTTTTAAATTTTTGACTTTTAATACCAACAAAAACATTCAAAAAAGCACTATTTCACATGCAATATAAATTTTTAATAATTTATTTTAAAAAACATCAAAAAAATTGTGTTAATATTTGTTATTAGACACACTAAATTCCTATTTAGGTAATAAATAAATAATTTTATTTGGTAATAAACACATGGTTTGACACTGTTTTAACCAACATAACCTCAACATTGTTAAAACTATAAAGAATAAAATAATGACTGTAATGAGTGATAACGGGGATATTAGTGATTCTAGTTACGAAGATAGTAAGTTAAAATTTGTTATAAACAAAAACATATTTAACCTTTTCAATTAGTTACAGAAGAAGAAGAAAATTTAAGTGAAAATGAAGAAGCAGGAAATGCAGCATGGGCGAATTCAATAGCAAAGATATTAAAATCTGGAAAACCAAAAAAGAAAAAGACCTTGGTACTATCTAAAGCAAAGAAATTAAATGATGAAAAACCAAGAAACACAAATACTGTTAAATTTGAAGTACAAGGAGAAGATGGAGAAATTAAAAAGGAAATTATAGAAACAGAATCTAAAGTTGATTCTATAGTTAAAAAGAAAAAGATTCAGTCGACATTAAGGGTTAAACCAAACATATTAGAAAAAGATCGTGAGAGAACTCTATCTAGAATTGCAACTAAGGGTGTGGTACAATTATTTAATGCAGTTAAAACCCAACAAAAAGATATTGACACACAATTAAAGGAAGCTGGACCATTAGAAGTTAAAAGAGATAAAGTGTTGAAAAGGGTTGATAAGAGATCATTTTTAGACATGTTAATGGGTGAAAATAACACAGAGAGTGGAAAAAATACCACTTTAGAACAACCAAAAGTGGAAAATGATGGTACTTGGAACGTTTTACGTGATGATTTTATGATGAAAGCTAAAATGAAAGATTGGGATAAAGAAATAGAACAGAATATGGAAATTGAACAAGAATCTGATTAAATAAATTTCTGTTTATTATGTTTGTCTATTTATTTAGAGACCTTAATGAAACAATTAATAACATTAACAGATAAACATTTATTGTTGGTAAACTCACAAGAGCTTTTTTACATTCATTAATATTTATTTACAATGTCAATAACACATTCATTGCCAAAGATGCAATTCCGCATCTATGGACTGAGACTTAATGTAGAATAAGAGATTTTTTCTGGCGCTGAACGTGTTTATTCTTTTTTGCATGAGAAAGTTTAAACCACAGAGAGCCATCCACTTATATTAAGATACTGAGTAACTACGTCTCTTATTTCTGCTTCTTCTGTAGTGTTGAGATCATCAGGAATCTTCGTTTTACCAGTAGTCAAATTATCCTTTAACAAAATTAAAAGTAGGTCGCAATTTATTTAAAATTATTATTAGAGGTCATAATTTACCTGGATAATAAGAGATTTCATTGTAATATATTGTACAGGTTGGATATTTAACGAAGAACAAAGCTAAAAAAAAGATTATGTTACAAAAATATAATATTGATATCTTATTATACAGGTCGCTGATATTTGTGCAAACGGTCATTATTTCCAAAAGTAAGATAGCTAGCGAAAAATGTTAAGATACAAAAGTGTTAGTGTTTTTTAAAATTTATTGCAATAAAGACAAATTAAGTAATACAGGGTCAGGAAAAAAGTTATGACGAAATCAAGTTGTGTTCTCTTTAATGGAACACCTGTATATTATTCCATATTTCGGTTCATCTCGAAATTCTAAACAAAAATCATGTAACACATCATAGACCTTCAATTAATCGTTTCAAAGATATCGAGCTTTTAAAAATTTACGAATTTATCTAATTAGTGACATAAGTTATCTTTGGGCGCAAATTATTTAAACTATTTTTGTTTTTTTTGAGATGTGTTATGTCACTGCGTTGCTATGGAGATGAGAAACTTTCAAAGGTAACTTGATGAACTATGAACATAATCGACTAAAATATTTTTGTGTAATTTATAAGATTAAATTCAAAGTTCAATATCTCAAAAACGGTTAAGTTTAGGTGTATGATGTGCTACATGAATTTTATATAGAATTTCAAGATGAACCGAAATATGGAATAATATACAGGCTGTTCCATTAAAGAAAACGTAACTTTGTTTCGCCATAAATTTTGACTGACCCTGTATAGTTAATTCATCTTTATTGTAATAGATTTTAAAAAAGACTAAAACTTTTGTTTCTTAACATTTTTCGCTAGCTATCTTAGTTTAGGAGATAACCGACCGTTTCCATACATATCAGCGACCCTGTATATTATCTTAACAACTATTTTAATTTTTATAAAAAAAAATTAATTAAATTACTAACCTCGGCTTCGTGTTGAGATAGCAAAGACCCATGGGGTAATGTAGACGGTGGAGGTGGTACGACACTATCAGAGTTGTTGATGGGGCAAAATGTGCTGTTGTCGGATTCGACGTTTTGTAGCCACTTTTCGTCGATTAAACTTTGACTTGGGTCTTTTCTTCATTTTTTTTCAAAATAAAACACAAATTATAAATCAAGAAACTTATAAACATTTTTGCTAATAATTTACACAAAATCGTTAGTAATAAATTACTACCAATAACAAAAAAAAATAAAATAAAGTTACAAACAACCAGAAGACGGATCACAACTGAATGGTATTGCGCCTGGGCATTAAACCAACCCGATTATTAAATTCGACTAATTTAACCTCCTTACATTAATTTATTTACAATGAAAATGAAGTTGCTGTGAATAAATTTTATAAAATAAAAACAAAAATGATTTATTTGTACACGCGTGAAGTTATCTATTTTTATCTTGATAAAATGAATGCTTACCCGTTTTTCAATTGCTCCGGTATCGATGTTACCAAGCCACTTCCGCCCTACGTTCAAATATAATTGATACAATCTTTACTATTTATAATTACTAACGATCTGAACCGATTTTTTTATAGCCCTAACACAAAACCAAACCGTGATGATCCCTGTATTAATTTATTGTTGATTTTTATACAAATTGACTCAAACTAATCAATCCAAAACGATTGAACTCAAAGACCCTCACATTATTAATTAAACAATTTTAGAAACATAATTTGTTTTATTATTAATGAATAAATCAAATAAAATCATATTTACAGTCATTCAAATTTCTGTACATCAAAGTTCGTTTTGTGCGGGATTGATTTCTTTATTTTAAACAATTATGAATGACCGTACATAAAAATTTACAGAGTATTCAAATTTTGAATCAAAATAAAATGAACACCCTGTTTCAAAAAGAACTAAATAAAAACTTACCGCTTTCTGCCTTAATTTCTGTTGTCTTTGATACTCAGCATGTTGCTCATAATGGATAATCTCATCTTGAGTGGTTAACCCAACACTTCTATACCGCATCAATTCGGAAAGTCGATGTCGTAACTCTCGTTCCCGTTCAACACTTGCAATCAACCTATCGTGTTCCCCAGAGGTTAAAAACTGACTAAATACACGCATATTATCTCTTAAATCTTTCTGTTCTTTTGTTAGTGGTTTTTTATTAATGTCTTTACGTTGATTAGCAAAAAATTTTGCTACTAATTGGTAATCTCGAACCACTCGTTTTCGACGATATCTTTCTCGTAACCGTCGAATATACATTCCCACTTGAGCTAATTTTAATGCCGTTTCCATACCACCTTCTTCCGCTGAGTTAAGATGAAGCGATGAGACTAACTGTTCGGCGGCCATGTCATATTCCTAAATAAATAAATGACAATAAAATATAAATAAATTTTTTTATAAATTAGTTTGTTAAGGGTATTTTAACAAGCAAACAGGTGCGTAAATCAGGTGAGAAAAAGTGGATTTCTGGTGGAACAGGGTATATTTCCATAAAACAACGAATAATATAATCAGGGCGCCCCCATCCTGATAACTGATAAGAGTACCAGTCCCGATCGGTTGATGAGCCTTTAGGTGCTCTTCGCGTGGTGCCGTCAACAACGAAGACAACGAATTTAGGGAGCATAAATAGGGCCGTATGAATTGAGGTTCATAAATAAAATCTGAAAATTTAATTCTAAAAATCGAATTTGATAGAATGGATAGACGAAGGATAAATATGGAAAAAATTGAAAATATGTTTAGAGACATAAAGGAACAGCTGACCGCTGTAAAACTAACAAAGGAAGGCAAAAAGATGGATATCCTAAAAAACGCTAGTGTTAAAAGGAACGATCATCATATGGATAGATNGAATGGATAGACGAAGGATAAATATGGAAAAAATTGAAAATATGTTTAGAGACATAAAGGAACAGCTGACCGCTGTAAAACTAACAAAGGAAGGCAAAAAGATGGATATCCTAAAAAACGCTAGTGTTAAAAGGAACGATCATCATATGGATAGATGAGGACTACTCTAAGAAAATTCAGAGAGAGAGAGATATGATTTAATCACTGAACTAAGGGAACTCAGGAGGAAAGGAGTTAAAGCACATTTACAATACAACAAAATAATTGTAAAGGATGAAGCAAACGACAAAGGGAAAATAGTGGACGATATGGAAAAAAAAGACACGTCCTATAAAATCAAAAAACTAAGTGTATAAAGAGGAGACTTTACTTAGGATGAAAATGGCAGGGATATAGATAAACACAAGGAAAAGCAAGGAGAAAATAGGAAAGTTATAAAGATGTGGACGTGGAATTTTACAACTTTAACGGGAAAGGAAAGGGAAATAACGGAGGAGATAGAGAGGTTTTGGACAGAAATAATGGGAATTAGTGAAGCGAAAAAGAAGGGAAGGGGAAGGCTTCTAAGTATATATAAAACCGCATGGGAGTCAGAAACAATCCCGAAAGATTGGGAAGATAATATCATCTTACCAACACATAAAAAAAACTTGAAGCTACTTGAACTGTGAAAATTATAGAGCCATATGCCTATAATCTACAAGTTACAAATTATACATAAAGATAATGGAAAAAAAGGTTAAGAAGAGTAGAGGAAAATAAGCTAGAAGATGAACAAGCAGCATACTGAGCAAGCTTATTGTTGGACCTAATGAAGGGAGAAACATCAAACACTTTTGAAATGAGCAAGGGCATAAAACAAGGCGATAGCCTAAACCCCTTGATATTTATAATATTAATGGACATACTGATAAAAAAATACAAGAACAAGCAAATATCAAACAGTAATAGGTTATAAAAGGTTAGTACCAGTAAAAATAGATAATTTACTATATGCTGACGACATAGTGCAGATAGCAGAGAACCATAAAAAAGCAAGGAAGTTGGTTGAAAGGAATGGACGGAAGAAATTGAAAAGATGGGCCTAGAATTGAACATAAATAAATGTAAAATTGTGATAATAAATAAAAAGGAAATAAGCAATAACCCCAAACAATTATTTATTAAGGAACAAAAGATAGAAGAAGTAATCATCATATGAGTACTTGGGCAGTATAACATCACACAATGAAAGGATAGATTTAGATATAAATGCAAGAGTAAGGAAAACAAACAACGTATATCATACTCTAAACAGAACAATTTTTATGAAGAAGATTGATAAAAAGATAAAATTGAAAGTGTACAACTCGGTGGCAGTCCCAATATTAACATATGCCAGTGAATAGCCACTCCAAGATAAACAAGAAGGAAAGATCAAATATTTACAGAAAATAGTAGGATAAGGAAAAAGGGAATAACACAGGGAGTAGATCAAGAGGAGATAATCATCAAAATAAAGAGAAAGCAACTAAATTAGTACGCCCACATAATTAGAATAGGACATAACACAAAAGTAAAAAAAGGTATTTGAAGCAAAGAATGTGGATAAGAGAAAAAGGGGGAGACCTAGGAAGTAGGAAAGAATAGCAGAAGTTGGGAAGAAGAGAAGGAAGACTCTAGCAGATATAAAGGCATTAGCCAGGAACCAAAGGGAGTAGAAGTGGATTGAGGAATAAGACAAGATTTATCTGACGCCATCAGGCATAAAGATCAGAGGAAGAAGAAAAGAAGTTTTATTTACTCTTTCATAATCGTCTCGATGAGACATGTAACCAAGTTGTCGCGCTTCCTCTGGTGTTACATCCAAGGGTGGTAGCCGTGATGTAACATCAGGCGATAATGGACCTTTATCTTCTCCAATATGTTCTTGCAGAATAGGTCTAGAATTTCCAATATCTATCAAGGTAGCTTTACCAATATTTCCTTCTAAATATCGTTGTATGTATTCTTCTTTTACCTCTGTAAAAACCATAATTATTATTGCCTAAATACTTTTTATGACGTAAATTACCATCTGCCGTTCTAGTTTTAACATGTTTACTTATAAGTTCCCAATTACCAAATCCATAAGATTCTACTGCATCTAATAAAAGAAGTTGCTCCCTTCCAGTCCAATTACCACGTCCTCCGAATACACTAACAGCACAATGGTCCTAAATGCAAATCAAATATATAAACTACGCAATGAATGCAATAAAATTTTTACCATAAACCTATATGAATGATCATTTTTATGAGATCCTATTTCAGCTCCACTGGAAAAGCACTGCAAACATAATCGAAAATATTTTATTTGAATTTGAACTTTTGTATTGTTTTCTACCTGCAAACAAATGTCAAAATCTACGCAGTCGCAACACTGCACTCTAACGCCATTAATTTCTTCTTGACAGTACGTGCAATTTACTTTTGAGAATAAGTCTGAAAAATATAGCGTAATGAGACCCCATCCGAGAGCCGAAGTATTTTCAGCTTACCGGCCATAACTAAATGGAATTAATTAATTTAATGTTAAACGTTTATTCGCGTAAGCTTCGTTCAAAAACTACCACCGAAGCATCGAAAATTGTTTGGCGTTTTGCGGTGGTTTTGACGTGACGCATCGTAAACGTTAAATGTCCCTATGATCCCTATAATCGAAACGATTTAGTTACTTTTTACAAACATAAATTTTGTCCAAAATATAGTTTTTACTTCACCATAACTATTTAATTAAACTCATTATTATAATTTATGCATTTTTAAAAAGCTCTATTTATTACTTTATATAAAAAAAGCCACAACTTAATGCTACATTAATGCTACCAACTGTGTAAAATAATTGTAAATAAATATATGTCAAAACTTAGAAACCTAACCTAAAACTAAATTTAATATCAAATTAATATAATTTTAATATCATTTTTCGTTTTATATTAAGCACAATACGTGTTTATATGAAAATTTTCTAAAAGGATGTCTTTATCAATTGAACAGTGTTCACAACTATTAAGGTATTATTTTTATACATATTTTAGCCTATAACTGACTTAAATTTCTTTAAAAAGTATTTTAGACCAAAACACGGTGAAAAATCAAACGTTTGAAAACGTGATAAGTGATGTATTACGGAAATTTGATAATTCGGACTATTTTAAAGGTAAATAAAAAAATGTTTAAATCGTATTAATAAAATTTTTTTCTTTTAGTTGCGTGCTGCTTAGTAATGTTGCTTCAGCAAGATATATTATCTGAATCGGAACAAAGACTTGCTGCAATTGCAATAATAAGAGAATTATATAAAGCTGAGCCTATAGTAAATACAGCTTTTGCAAATGTGTTTATTCATTTACTGGTATTTAAATTAACATAATTATTTGTTTTATGATTAATAGGTTATTTTTAGCAACCACCCGAACAACAAACTAACATAGGTAGTCCTAAACTTGAATATCCTGGACAATTACCCAGGTTAAATTCCGCAGAGAAACACTTTGTTTTAACACTAATGACTGATAATGCTAAAGAATCAGTAAGATTTGTTGAAGAAATCATTTTTTGGTTATAATCAATTATTTTTTAGTTATTAAAAAAAACATTCTCACAAATTTTACATTTAGATTTAAACAATTCATTTAATATTGATATATCCGCTATGCAACTGACAGTAGCTGAAAAACAAATTGAATTTCCACAATATTCAAAATCAGGAATGCCTGTTATCCTTTTATTCCCCGGTGCAGAAGAGAATTAGTAAACAAATTCTTTTATATATATTTATGTGTTCTTTTAAGTAGGTAATATAAATTAATTTTGTTTTAGTTATGAAATTGAAGCAGACAAGAAGGATGATTGCGTTCAAAAATTAACTGTAGGCGATAATGCACCTTTAAACAGAGTTTATAAACCAGAATTTGTTACTTTAGCTCCACCATTATTAAATTGCCAAGATGAAATGGTTTGGTTAAATATAAGGAATCCTAAGGAGCATACAATTGCCTATGATACAACGATGTGTGTACCTAATATAGCAGGACAAGAAATTCGGCAATTAATGAATAAAGCATATAAATCAGCTTTAACCATTCAACAACAGCAACAATTATTAACGGAATTACAAAATGATTCGAAATTGGTGTATCATATAGGATTAACACCATCAAAGGTATATTTTTTTAAATATTATGCATAGCACAATTGTATAACTTACACTTAGTAAATACATACTAATTAGTTACTTATTTTTGACATTACACAAAATTAAATAAGATAATGTTTTGCAGGTTTTCCCAGTGGTTCAGTCTTCTTTACACATAATATAGATAAATATTGTCATATTTTTAGAGTTTTTAGATTGTGGTTTTAATATTTGCTTGTATATTAACAACTTGTTTCTTAGTAATAAGGTAGATTTTCTGCCAATAAGCCAATATAGGTGTCTACATTTGATATCAAGGTCCTCACGTTTTTTTTTTTTGACATGAGCTTTCCATTTGAGTTTGGCATCCAGCGTCATACTAAGATATTTTGCGATGTCGGCGTAAGGGACTGCATAGCCATTTATGTGTACTGGGACATAGTTTACTTTCTTATAAGTAAAATTTATGTATGTCGATTTATTTGTATTTAATTTTATTAACCATCGTTTGGTCCAGTTTTCTATTGAATTTAAGACCAATTGTAACTTATTTGCTGCAACTACTTCATTTTCTGCAACTCAGATCGCTGTTATCTGAGAATGTAGCTGTTAAACTTTGTGGTATCTGAGGAAGGTCGAATGTGCAGAGTAAGTACAGTGTTGAGCCAAGCACACTTTCTTGAGAAACGCCAGGTTGTATTTCATGTAGTGCTGAATAAGCGTTTTCGTATTTTACTCTAAAATATCGATCAGAAAAGCTAAATTTCCACATGCACGGATTACTGGCGCTAGTTCATTTACATGTGGAAATAGCAAAAAACCACAGGCGCCAATAAATCGGTGCCTGTAATCATAGCGCCAATAAAGTTGACGCTACTTCTACTTTTTGGCGCTAGTAACAGTATTTATAAAGAAAACGTGTAACTATTAACGTGTTCGCCCAACTAAAATGAACAAATCCGCTAATAAGCCGTCCAAGAAATGGACACCAGAACAAACAGTACTATTTCCAGAAACGTATGAACAATATCCTTGTTTGTGGAATCAGAAAATTCCACAATATAAGGACCGACTAGCACGAAATGAAGCTGTCAGAAGGATAGTTTAAATTATGAAGAAAACACTAGAAACTTTCGGGTTTTGCCGTGTAGGACAAGCCCAAAACCACACCTTTCGGCAAAACCCGAAAGTTTCTAGTGTTAGTTCTAGTTTTAGTTCAATTAACTCCGGCCGTGAAAGCTTTCGTACTTATATGAAGAATACAGTTCCTAATTTTGACGAAACCTCGGCAAAAGCAAAAATACGAAGTGTACGCAATGCGTATACAATTGAATACCATAAAGTACTTCACCATAAAGCACTTCACATATAAATTGAGAAATTGTGCTTTTTGGCAAACAACAGATATATTGCAGGAATGTAGAAGAATCTCCAGAAGCCAAAAATCTTAAAGTTACTTGCAGTTTTACGTGAGCTAGAATGGCATCTCTCATATGCGTATGTTGCTTTTGTATTTTAGAAGATACTTGCTTCAACAAAAACATGAAACTATCTTCAGTCATTCTTAAATGATTAAAAAATGCTTGCTGATCTTCATGACATAATTCTATAATTAGAGTACTAGACGCACCTAGGTTATTTCTACGTGCAATCCACGATCTAACTCAGCAACTACTTTGGTTAATAACGTGTACAGTTCCAAGGAGCACATTTGGACTACTATATTGATGCCAGCGCGACGTACATCACTTGACGCCATTTTTATTACTGAGCCAGTACAGAATTATAACATTTATGTGGACTAAACTGACTTCGTACTGGTGCCAGTAATCCGTGCATGTGGAAACTTAGCTAAAGATACGATTTTAATAGTTGACTATACGTTGATGGTATTTGGTCTAGTTTGTAATTTAAACCATATAACCAGACTTTGTCGAAAGCTTGGACTGTCTAATATAAAAGTTTCTTGCAGATGTTCAGCAAACAAATTAACTTTTTCTTTATTGCTCTTACATTAGCCCAATTTCCATTACTACTTCGAATTGGCGGTGTATGTGTTTTTGGAACATTAAGCTTTCTTGTCGGCTTCCACAGAGAATAATCACAACTGGCATCGTCAGTAAGATCTTTTAAGTAACTTTGAATATTATTTTTTTATGCTCTTAATTCGGCTGTTATTTTATTTAATTTAGTTTTATCACTAGGAATTCTATTGATTTGCCATTTCTTTCTCGCTTTCCGTTTTTCAGCAATTTTGTCTCTAATGAATTTAGGAAATATGTTAGATTTAGGTTTTGGTGTGAAAATAGGTATTGAGGCCCAGGCTGAGTTTTATATGTCTTTTAAGAACTTTTCTACTTCCTTATCAAAGGTATATTGATAATGAAAAGCACCTCTTTTGGATACCTGGTTTGCCTTATACTCTATAATCTAGAGATTTGACTGGGATGATGAATTCTGATTCTATATATCTGATGTCTTCACTTCTCTTATGGCCCTGTTATGGATCGTAGGGTCCTCGTCTCTGCCGTTCGAATTATTTTTTGTTATTGTAGACCAACCTTTGTTTACACAGCGTAAGTCATAACAGATCTTACGCAGGTCTTGTATATGCGGATTTTACTTTGTATGGTCATGTGTTTGTTTCGCCTTGGTTGTCTGAGCCTTGACTTCCTCGCGGAGGTCTCTGCTACTTGTGATGCTGACGCCAAGATATTTAGAACTCATGATCTGCTCCACCGGTTTGTTATATATCGCCAGTTTGCATCTCCTTGGCTCTTTCGATATGGATAGTGCTTTAGACTTAGCTGCCCATATGGTCATATGGTACTTAGTAGCTATTTTTATTTCAAATTGAGCATTCTCTGCAGGTTGTCCTTGTCCGCCGAGATCAACATGGCATCGTCTGCGTGGCAGGTGTACTTACAAATGAATCAATATTTATTTTATTCAAAGTATATCTTTCCAAAATGTCCAAAATATTCCTAATCAGTCAGAAACGCTAATTAGAACAAAACTATTATAATTCGAAGAAAGCAAATACAAATAATAATTTTTTTATTATTATTATTTATTTTTTTTAGTTGCCAGATTTGGTGGAAAATAATCCTATTATTGCAATAGATGTTTTATTAAAATTAATGCAAAGTAAACAAATAACAGAATATTTTAGCGTTTTGGTTAACATGGAAATGTCGCTTCATTCGATGGAAGTTGTTAATAGATTGACGACAACGGTTGATTTACCAACCGAATTTGTACACTTATATATTTCAAATTGTATAACGACATGTGAAACGATTAAAGATCGTTATATGCAAAATCGCTTGGTTAGATTGGTTTGCGTGTTTTTACAGTCATTAATTAGAAATAAAATAATAAATGTACAAGTAAGTATGCTTAAAAGCGAAATTCTATTTATTATTTGATGTTTTTAGGAACTTTTTATAGAAGTACAAGCTTTCTGTATTGAATTTAGTAGAATACGAGAAGCAGCAGCTTTATTTCGTTTATTAAAGCAATTGGAATCTGGAGATGTAGGTCTATTATCGTCACCAACAAATAAAACAAAATTGGAAAGCTAATAAAAACACATTCATTTAAAATATATAATTGGTGTTTTATGTTTTGTACATGATGTTACATTTTGGCAATGCAAGTTTTAAATCGTGAACAAGTCCATGAGTATTTTTAACATATTGCAAATCAAATAATACTAAGTTTGATAAATTTGTTAATTCACTTAAATGCAGCAATCCTTTATCAGTGATGTTCGCACATTTAGAAACTTGTAAAATACGTAATGTTGGATTCAACGGTTTCAATAACTTCAAGCAACCATCTTTCAAATAATTACAATCATGTAGTACAATTTTGGAGATTTGTTTGCATCCCACGAAATGATCAAAGCCCACGTCCATAATACTGGATGAGGACGCATCTACTTCTTTTATCTGTAGTGTTGTTCCCTCAGGTGGTAATAAGTTATAATCAAATAAGTAGTCTTTTACGCCAACAAATTTAACCTTCCCACCGTTTCTTAAAATCCATTCCGCACAAACTCTATCCGGTCCAAATTTACTCAATCTTTCTTGGTCAACTCTGTTAAATGTCAAATTGACCCAATGCCATAATTGACGACTGTTTTGGTGTGTTTGGGGTATTTTAATGAAATGGTGAATCGTTTGCATGCATTTTAAAAGCATATTTATTTTAGTTATTTTTTTTTGGTTCACGGAGTGTTCACGATTGCATTGAATTTTTAACCTAAAAAGTCAGCTGTTCGACATTTTAATTTTGTAGTGTTATTTGTTTTTGTTTTTTTAGATATTGAAATACCCCGACATCTATGATGTAAAAGTAAAATTTATATTCTTCCATATAATGTAGAGTAATTAACGATTTTAGTTAATTTTGTTGTGTCAATAATTTTGATGTGATTTGATATAGTGATTGGGAGAGTTTTAGTGTATATTTTAAAATATAATTTGAAGAAAAATATACTTGATATGAAAGTTTGGTACCGCTGATTTTTTTTAAATAGCCAACTGTTTCTTTAACATGCGCAGTAGACAGTTTCGCACCTGCGCCATTGTCAATTTTATCCAGAAGCCGACACAGTTGTTATGTTCGCGGTGTTATTTTACTAAATTTGTTCTATAACAGTACCTTATTAAACTGTAAATTTATTATTCCATTAATATAGTAGTGAGAAAAATTCGCGTACGAACGATAAACAGTTTCGTGAGTTCCAAATAACGATCAGTAATAGTATCGATGTTAATCAGCTAAGATTTTTCCCTCCAAATATTATATTCCGCAAAAGAAAGATGCCTCTACTTAAGAAAAAACCGTTCGAAAAGAAATCACCACCGGAATCACTCAAAAATACCGATGAAGTATTTCATTGCGAGCTCACCAACGAGATTTTTCTCGATTATGAGTAAGAACCTTATAAATTTGAAGATATTTTTTGTAGATTAACCACGCTTCTTTTTGACGAATATGTCAATCGCTGTATAACTGTTAACCGATGATTTCACGAAGTTCCTAACGTTTCTCGAACCAAATCCTATTACTGCCTTTCTATTTTCAAGAGATTTTCATATTATTTTGACAATAGGTTATGTCTTATGTCAAGTTACATTTTGAAACATGTAATTGACAGAGTATTAAAATATAATAATTAAATATTATTTAAAGGTGATGCGTATTTTAAATTCGTTTTATTAATTATGTTATAATTTTATATTTTTCAAACATTTGTCAACAATCTTAAAGTAGATCTCATTGAACTTGGGTGAAGGTTCTAATGCCAAGGTGAGAATTCAAGGATTTTACTTGAGAGACAAACATAGATTAGATTAGCTTTAATCTTTAAATTATTTAGTTATTAGAATATAAGAAGGGTTGGAAATTATAGCTATACAGGATGTTGGTTAGCTGATATTCTCAAAACCTGTTTGATTTCAGAGATATATAAGTACTATTTTTATTTAAGATTGTTATTTTGTAATTCTAGGGCGCTCTACTCATTTGTCTAAGCGGTGTCTTTTTTCAAGATTCTTGTAATTGTAGATTAAGAATTATTTTTATAGATAATAATTGTTTATTGAGATACATGTATCTCCATGACAAAACTATCTTACTACATGAATTTGTATTTGACCAAGTATTGTACCAATGCTAACAGAGCATGCAATCACACTACATAAGACTATCAGGCCTAAGCAGGGTATTAAAAACCTATTAGTATTCCACCATTCACAGGGATTAGTTATCTTTTTTAAGTGTTGAACACTGCAGATAATAATCAAGTTCAACCCCAATAGAACTTTTTTTACTTAATACAACTTTTTTTATTTCATTTTTGTATTAGCAACCTCATGGTAACAATCCCAAAATAATATTTGAATTAAATCTCTGGTTGCAGTTTCTTCTAGTTTTCTTCTCTTCGCTTGTAATTCATCATCACATCCATTACTAACAGAACTGTCGCTGTTATCACTTTCAGTTTGTGATTATTATTATTATTGCTGAGGGGAGCGGCCTCTCTCGTTACCGCGACCTATAAAATCTATTGTAACTTTAGCCCTCCAAAAGTTTAGGGCAAATATAGGTCCTTGATGAACCTTAGTATTGCCCTGAGGTCTTGAACCTTTATGTCGGTAGGTGTCAAGAGAGGTTTACCTAAAATGTTGTATCTTAGACGGCCTTTGGCGTCTAAGACACATTGCACAGTATATATTCAGCTATTTCTGACTCGTCGTTGCAAAGTCGACAAGTTTGATCCTCAGCTTGTCCAATGTGGAAGAGGTGGTATTTTAGGGGCGCATGGAGATATTGAATAATTTTAAGAAATGGACATGTTTCCGACTGCACGACCACTATGAATTCGTTTTGTGTTTCTCAATAATATAACCAGTATTTTCCAATGATTATTCCTTTCACAATTGATAAATTTGAATCATTTGTACTGAAATTTAGTCACATTGTACACATCGTTCCGACCAAAGTTTCACGATTTTAAGTTTAACACGTTCACTGCCAGAACGTTTTTCTTGTATATTAAGTGCTGGCCAGGGACATATTTTATGTGTGGACAAAATTTTAATTCTTTGGCATATGATGCGCCAAGGTAGAGATATCCACGAGTACTGAAGTACCATGAGGCAGAAATTATCAATTATTTATCACCCCTGTATAGAAGTGCTGCTCAGAGTAATGACCGAGTTGCACTATATTGGAGCCATTGTTGGATTGTGGAAAAGTCGTGGTCATGGGCAATTGGTACACTAGTCTATCATTGGCAGAACAGTTGCTAGGTAGACAAACACACCTGATCGGCACTTTGAGGAAGAACCGCAAAGAGAATCCGTGGAAAGTAATTAAAAAAAAAGCTGGTAGGGTGAAAAATATTTACAAAAGAGAATCGTAAGGGAATCTTTTCCTGGAAAGATAAGCGCCCTGATGTTCTCTATAAAGCATTCAGATAAGCAAATTAAAGTATGAAATCGTCGAGGGGAAATAGCAAAACAATTACTTGTGGTTTATGCAATGTTCCCCCTTTTACTATAAACTAAAAACGATCTTTTAAGTGACATGAAATCAAAGAAAAGTCAATATTAGAGGACTTGGTTTGAGATTCTGAGAGTTTTAATGGGTTTAATAAATTTATCCATTTCTTGAACTTAAACTTTTTTTTAAATCATTTATTTTCTTTTATTTTTAGAGAATTTGCAGAACGTACAATCCTTTGTAATTCAATGGTATGGACATGTTGTAAAACAGGAAAATCAAATTTAACTTACCAAGAAGCGTTAAAATCTGAAGAAGATGCCAGAAACAGTTTAAAACACTTTCCCAATGAAATGCGGGTACCAGTTTTATTTTTAGCAAATAAAACGAATCGAACAAATTTCTCAGATATGTCCGACGACGTGTTTTCGTATATAAAAGAACGTTATTTCGTTGGAGAAACTGTCGAAGCTTCATTCTCAGGTGCAAAATGGGGAGAATATCATATTTTAGAAGTAATCTTTCCTACAGACGACGAACTAAAAAAGCTTCCCAAAGTAAATGGAAGTCAAAATGGCCGATTTCAACCTCCTCCACACGTTTATAAATATGATTTGGAACAAGTGGATGGTGAGGATGATGATGTAATTGAGAAAATGATAGCTGATTTTACGCAAATGCGAAGAAAGAAAGGTTCATTTACCAGGGACAAATGTAAATTATTTTTGAAACAATATGTTGAGGTGACCAAGTCGGGGAATTGGATTGTAAAGAATTCGGCTGTTGAACAATTTGGACTGGATAGGATTTCTTTTGATAAAATTTTTGCGGGTCCTCTGCCTCAATTTGAAAATTCTAAGAAAATTGTGAAGGTGGCGCCGAATGGTAAAAAATCAAAACAAGAAACGTTAGCTAAATTTTTAAAAGACGCGGAAGGGAAAGAACTTAAATTAAATGCTTTCGATGAAGCGAAAAAGAAACAAGAAGAATTGGAACAAAAAAAGCAAAGGCTTGCTGAAGAAAAACAGAAAAAAAAGGAGGAACATTTAAAAGTAGCAAAGTTATTACAGAAATGGCATAGACCTAAGGAGGATTTAGAATTAGAAGATCAAAGAGTAAGTGGTGAAAAAAAAATTATAAAAATAATTAACTATGAGTTTTTTTTTTTGGTAGAAACTTCCTGAATTCACACCTGTACAATCAAAAGTTCCAAACAAATATATGGGGGATATGTTTATGATTTTAGAATTTGTTAACTCGTTTTCAAAGATTTTACACACCAAAGGCTTTTTTCCAGATGGGTTTACATTTGACGTTATAGAACGTGCTTTAATAGAAAAAGAAGTGGCCGGGCCACTTATTGATCTTGTACAAATGTTATTAAACGCTATCTTTGCACAACAAGAAGAGGAAACTACTCACGTTAAAATTGCCTTAGAAGAAATAAAATGTAAATTAATATTCTTATTATCCTAACATTAATTAATACAATTAATTAATAAATATTAATACATAATTTTATTTTTAGCTACAAAAACAATACCAGAAACACCAACAGTTTTTGACTGTACAAAATTTGCAACAATAGCTGGTAAATTTTCAAGAGAACATCAAGGATGTCGTTTAGAAAAACTTCCAATGTATTCATTAACAGTAACTGAAATCCTTCGGCTCCATTTGCTTTCATCTGGAGCAAGAATAAATGAAAGTGGGGCGAGATGGCGTTATCAATATCGAGGTGGTTACACAATTGAAGATGACCCTGGTCTTTATATGCGAATGCATGAACCTCACATAATTCGAGCACTTGAATATCGTAATGTGGTTGAACTTAGTGTAAAAAATAAAATAAAAATAGTTTCCTGTTTAATTAATCAACTCTTAACGTACTCTGATATACGAGATATCATCGATGAAAGATTGGATAATTCGCGACAACAAAAAGTTGATTTAAAAAGTATGCATATTGCTGAAAAAAAGCGATTGGCCGACGTTAACAATGCTAAAAGTCGTGCGCGAAATGGTCAAAACATGACTGAAGAAGTTAAACAAAAAATTAAAAAAATTGAACAAGATAGTGAGAAACATATTGCTGAATATGAGAAGAAAATTGGAAAAATTAAATCTACACAGGACCATGTAACACTTTTAGGGTAGATTTATTTTGTAATAAAAATAATAGTTATCTTATAATGTATTATTAATTTTTAGATATGATAGAGGATTTAGACGTTATTTAAAATTAGATTCAATTAGTGGAATATTTATTGATACAGCAGAATCAAATCCTGGAAAGTGCCTAACAGAACCAATTCATCAAGTTCCAGAATTAATAAAAGCAACCGACCAAGTGATTCTTTCCTATTTAAATCAAATTTCTGAAGAAGTCAATACAAGTGATAAAGAAAATAATCCAAAGAAACCACAACATAAAACCAATGGTGGCATAAACGGAGTTACGCATCAAGATGAAACAAAAATTTCCAACGATCTTTTCGTTTGTGCTGGCGATGAGAATGTTTCATGTCCAGTTCATACCCCACAGCGAATGGAAGAACCAATTAAATTCGTTCCGTCCACGGATGCTTTGCTTGAACTAGAACAAACGTTAAATATTCGTGGAAATCGTGAAAACGAATTACGAAAATCTTTAGAATATTATCAATTAACGTCAAAGGTTGCAGCGACGCCCATATATTCATTAACAGGGGGAGTGCAAGGCAGAGAACTTAGAGTACGGAAACAAGAAAATTCAAATTTCGGACATCCTTCAGACGCAGATCCAATTGTTGTTATGCAAGAAACATTAATTGAAAATATTTTGGACATGGAAGAAAAACTGTACGCCGGAAACTTAGGCAATGTAAAAGTCCAAGATAGAAATCACTGGAGAACATGTCTATCAAATAAAAATTTCGACGATTTTGATAGAACTATAATGAGACAAAATGAAAATGAGAAAACAAACGGAGTGAAGGAAGAACAAGAAAGAACCAGTAGTAGAGAGAGTTCACCTGAACATGTAATTATTCGGGATTCATATCACGACCCTGGTTGGACTTTATCAAAAGTATCAACAAAATTAGATGATGATTTGGAAGACGACGTAGACGTTGCAATGCGGGGAAAAGAGAAGCAAGCCGTTGAATGTTTAGCTATTGCATTATTACAAGTGGGTTTGTCTGTAGATTCTAGATACTTAAAAAAACCGTTAGGTACAATTGAAACTAAAAAATCAGCAACACCAGTATCAAAACCAGTTTTAGAAAACTGGGAAAAATCTTTACTTGCCTCAACTAGTTATAGTCAAATTTTTTTACATTATGGTACATTAGACAGTTGTATATCGTGGTCCAAATCTTCCTTATTAGCATGGTGTCGAATGTGTAAAAAACGAACCGATTCTGAAAATATGCTTTTGTGTGACGATTGCAATGGCGGTTATCACCTTTATTGCCTTAAACCGAAATTGTATAGTATTCCACAAGGGGAGTGGTATTGTTGGAAATGTCAAAAAGAACGACAAAAATATGAACCTGTCGACTCTGAACCAAAGATTAAAAAAAGAAAAGTATTCAGGGATGAGGATGTTGAAGATGAAGAGGCAGGAGAAGAAGAAAATGATGTTGAAAATGTTAAAGAACATGAGAATAATCGTGAAGATAATGGTAAAGAGCATGATAGTGGAAGTGATGAAGAAAGGTAAAAACTAAATCGTTTAATAAAAAAAATTTATTTAAAATATTTATGCTTAGGGTTAGTAATCATGAAGGTTTATGTACAACATGTGGATCTGGAGGGGAATTATTATCATGTGAAAAATGTCCAAAGACTTATCATATAGAATGTGTTGAGCCACCATTAAGACATATGCCTCGAGGACCATGGACATGTCATCATTGTAAATCAAGGAAGAAAAGGAATGTATATAGAGACCGAAATATAGGTAGGTTTTATAAAAAAATGTGTTAAAAATTAATATTTAAGGTAAATGTTGATACAAAGTGAGTATATACTAAAATTGACACTTATTAACACTAACATAACAATCTGAAAATTAAAAGAATGGGGTTAAATACAGGTGTCATGTAAAGAGCTTTTGTTACTTGGCATTATTTATAAAATTATCTTATTGATAAAAGAGGGTTTCTTTATACATATGCTTATTAGCTGTATTTATAGCTTGGCAGGTTGATTCATAATCTGTAGGTTAAGATTTCTACAATGGGTAATTTAGGAATTTAAATTGAACTTTCCTCAGTAACTAAATAATTTACTGCCATCCTAAGCTGTGAGGACGTATTTTTGATAAATTGAATTTTAGTATTTACATAAAAGCAACACTTTGTAATAAGAACTAAATTTTGCTAAATAGTAATCATTAATCCACTTAACAATAATATCAAAATTTTCAAATGTTGTATGCACATTGACAAAAATGTAGTTATGGTTATATGCATAAAGAATAACCTGTATTATACTATTATTTGACACAAGGGTTACGCTACCCATAAGCAACTCAACAGGTCGAATCTCCAGGCGGTCGGTTGCCCACCACATGATTCAGTCAGTAGTTTTTCTGAAGATAAAGCTACCCTGATCTGGAAAGAAATCGGTATTCTACTATTTAAATCAATGGATTTTGTTATTCCTTTTATAAAAGGCCAAAATAGAAATAGGGTAGACTTTCAAAGTGGTGTTTTAATCCAAATCATTCAACTTCTGAAGTTATCCCTCTCTCCAACGAGATCCTTGAGCTGCGTCACTGTCTTTCCCCATGTTCTTCTCAGTCTCCCTGTAGGCAGGCGAGCCTGCCGCTCACGCCTCCATGTACATCTGTGGTTTCCTCACTTGTCCCATTCGTCTTGTCAATGAACAACTGTCTATTCTCAATCATCCTCTCAACCGGCCGCATATTAAGCTCTTCTTGAATACAGCTGTTGTTGTTCCATACTCTGTCTCGTCGTGTCTTTCCTGCAACACTCTGGAGGCATTTTTGATTCTTCACCTTGTTCAACATCATGCCTCCTTCTTTTAGAGTTTCTGCCCACTCAAGTACAGCCTGTTGCTATTTCCTCTCCAAGTCTATGATGAGAACTACATCATCTGCATATATCACAGTCTGTTCACATGTTCGATCTGAAGTTGAGCATGCCGACCACCGAAGTTTCTGTTCTTCACTCGCTGGAACATGTACTTGATGGCCTGCATCATTTGTGGGGGAGTTCCTTCCTTCTCTAGTGCTTTCCAGATTTCTTGCCTTGGCTCCTCATCAAACGGAGAGTGCATATCCAAGAAAGCCAAGTATGCAGATTTCCCTCTGTTGATCCACTTACCAGTTATACAGCGCAGGGAGAAAATGAGATCTTGTGTTTGTCGTCCTGGTCCGAAACCCGCCTGGTCCTCATTCTGATCTTTTTCAATGCAAGTTCTTATGCGCCTTTCCAGAATTCTAGAGTATAGCTTTGCAATGACATTAATGAGGCATATTGTCTTGTAGTTTTCACACCATGTTGAATCCTCTTTCTTGTGTATAGGGATGATTATGTTTCAAATTTCAAATATCCGTGTTTTTGGCCAAGTTAGTAAAACATGTAAAAATGTAGATACATAAAATATTCTTAAGCATATTTATACTACAGCTACATCCTTTAGCCTTTGAAAATAAAAGATGGACAACCATTCACTAACAATTAACTCATTTTGTGCTAAAACGCAGATATGTCCTTTCAACTTAGAACGGTAGTAAAATTGTAATGAGGAATTCAATCGATCGAAGTCGAATCTTAAAATACTATATCAAAAAGTGTTCGTTGACATAATAGGTCATGAAGATAAAATATTTGGATGATCTAACTATAATCAGAAATACATAATGCGTTTATAATAACAATTTATATTTAAATTACGGAACATCTTTAGCTGACACGCTGTACTTTTGTTGTTTTGATCACTTGATAATAGCTCTCAAAATAATACTTGTTATAAATAACTGCTTTTATAACATTTCTCTGTATTATCTGTGCCGCAGTTATGTCACTGAGGCCGATACAACGGTCGGGTTCTCGAGCAAATCAACGTCGCTGCGCGACGAGGGCCCGCCTCAAAATCCACGGGTTTATCAAATCGTTATGTAGGATAACGAGCGATGGTGGGTCGTTTAAGCTTTATTAAATCGCTTACCAGTCATCATGTTTTTAGTTTTCTTTTTCTCAAACAACTCTAAACCATACATTAAAACTATCATTTTATCGAAAATACTACATAACTCAACATGAAATAATGTATTTTTATTTTTTCTTTCCGCATGTAGTCTATGACGTTTTATAATAATAATATTTTTACATTTTATTTTATTGTTATTTTTAGATTCAGAGAGTGATGATGAAGAGGTGTCTTTAACGATGCGATTGACGACCAGAAAAGAGGCTGAAGATTTACCTTTACATAATGTTGCGTTACAAGATCTATTAGCAGAAATAATAAAACATAAAGATGCTTGGGCGTTTGTGAGACCTGTACAAAAGAATGAGGTCAATCTAAACTTGTTTACTGGTTTCTTTTTTTCAATGACGTGTAATTTTTAGGTACCTGATTATTATGATATAATATCAAATCCAATGGATTTTGGGACAATAAAGTATAAGCTAAACATGGGAAATTATACCTGTGATGAAGAATTTATGAATGATTCAGTATTGGTTTTTGAAAATTGTAATACTTATAACAATACCGATGCTGAAGTATACAAGTATGTAAATAATAAATTACTTTTTATTTATATTTAAAATTTATTTATTGTGGAACAGATGTGGGGTACGCCTTTTAAAAGTTTTCCGTAAAAAATCTAAAGACTTAGGACTCAAACTTCCAGAACAAATGCAAGATGATGACGACGACGAGGATGAATTGCAACAAAAATCCAAAAAAAGACGCATAAAATAGTATTATTATCAGTCGTACGCGGATCGCACATTCTTTTTGCACATCATGTACATGGGAATCGTTTTTGTAATCATTTTCTTTTTATCACTATCTCCGCTCTGTACATACATTTTATTTATTGCGTATTGTTAGTAAATTTCTCGTATTCTTTCATATACGTACATTAATTTTATTTATATGTTGAATACCGAATGGTAGTGCGTTTATATTTTTTCATACAAATATAGTTTACACAAATTGAATAGTTTTTATAACAACTTAACCTAACTTACATTCCTGACTAATCTAACCTAAAAGTTATTTCAAATACAATAAGTTAAACGTTAATTAATGCGATTTTTAAAAGAAACTTCGCCAATTTATCCTTTTTGATCATCATTTCTCTAAATTGTTTATAATAAATAATAAAATTTTATTTTGAATTAGATCATAACCTTGAAAAAAAACAGTGCTACCAACGATAAGATTTCAAGTTCAATTTTGTAAACAACAAAAATGGCGTCCTCTCAGGATGCTTGGTATTTATCTCTTCTAGGATTAGCAGAGCATTTTAGGACTTCCAACCCTCCTATGATAAAATTATGTATCCAGTGTTTACAGGCGGTATTTAATTTTAAACCTCCACCACGAGTAGAGGCTCGGACACATTTACAATTAGGAAATATCCTACTTACTCATACAAAAAATACAGATTTAGCTAAAACTCATTTAGAACAAGCTGTAAGTTCAAATAGAACGTTAAAATCACGTTTAAAATAACATCTTGTTTTAGTGGATGCTGTCGCAGATGATAAACTCATTCGATGATGTTAAATTCGAAGCCGCTAGTGTTCTCGCTGATTTATACGAACAACAAAGTCAGTCTGCACTGTCTAAACCAATATTAAGAAAAGCGATTGAGTTATCACAACATAATGTTTATTGGCATTGTAGATTGATTTTTCAATTAGCTGTAAGATGAATTTTTTTGGCTTTGATGAACTTATTATGTTTATCTTTTTGTAGCAAATCCATGCTACAGAAAAAGATTATCAATTAGCAAGTAGTTTGTTGGGAGTTGGTGTTGATTATGCTCATATTTCCAATGCTTATTATACAAGAGTTTTATTTTTATTGAGCAAAGGAATGGTAAGTACCTACCTAATTAATTAAAACAAATTAAATATGTGTTACCTTCAAAACTAAATGAGAAATATTTTAGTTATTAATTATTGATAAAAAATATCAAGATGTTCAATCTATCTTAACTCAAGCTAACCATTTAATTGAAACTTGGACAGGAGGACCAACTCAAAAAGAATATTTAAAAATTTTTCATTTAATACTACAAGTAAGTATATACAAAAAATAGCTGTGTTTTCAGAAATTTCATCGCAACTTTTTTAGGTCTGCCATTCTTTGGCATTTGGACAAACAAGAGGTGTTAAACCGTACTTAAAAACTCTACAAACAAGTCTGCAAACACTTTTAACAATTGAAGATGGTATAATAAATCAACAAAAACTTGTAGATCTTTGATTCTAACATTATTTATTCTTTTAGATTTAACAAACAATGAAATGTTTCTTTGGTTACCAAAAGATCATCTTTGGTTGCTTGGTATGATTGTAATGGTAATGCATAGTATGCAATCTGGTTACATGGATAAAGCACAAAAATTTTCTGACAAAGCTATGGCTCATTTAGAAAAATTAAAAGGTAATTATTAAAATGTTGAGAAAAACGGGATTTTCGTTTTCATCTCTCTAAAAATATAAGACTTCTCAGAATGGATAGGCTCAAACTATTGAAAATTGTTTGGTGCCTGTCTATTTTTATCACAGAACACTCATGATAGCCATCACAAGCACAGAATCCGCCTGGTTAGTCATTTCACGATTATACAGGTGTTTCTGTAAGTCGTGGCATAAATTTATTCACAAATACCAGGGTCAAAATGATGTTTCTTGTAAAAATTTTGGAAGAAAATTATCTAGAGTTTGATTTTATACTTTTAGACTGGTTTCTATTTTATATAGGATTTAAGTCTAACTAGTTTCGGCCCTTGGCCATCTTCAGAGACTCTACAAATAGGTTAAGAAGGGATCCTATTCATTTTACAAACAAGTTTCTTAATATTCCTTTTTCTTTTGGTAAAAAAGATCGGAAAAGTGACTAACACTAGATTAACTTCAGTTATAAAACTTCTATTATACGATAACTAACTTTAGGTTTAAAATGTCAACCTCAATTTTGACATATTTGTAATCTTCATTAAAAATCCTTTAAAATGAGTACAAACACGACATATTTATCTTCAATATTAATGAAATTGTGGTCAACTTTCGGTTAAGAATGTCAACGTCAATTTTGACATATTGTAATCGTCGTGAAAAATCCTTTAAAATGAGTCCAAACATAATACGTTTAATTCCAATATTACTCGAGATATAAGTAACTACCGATTTGAAATGTCAATGTCATTTTGACATTCTTAATATTTATAAAATGTCTTAATTTTTGTCACAAAAACAATATACAAAAATATAATAAAAAAAAATTAAAAATTAAGGTTGGTATTAATATTTAAAAATTAAATTGCTAACTTCGTTGTTGCTAACTTCGGGTTTAATGTTTTTTATTCTAACTTTTTTGTTTTTTGAGATAAGTGCGTCATGTTTGGACTCATTTTAAAGGTTTTTTAATGAAGATGACAAATATGTCAAAATTGACGTTGACGTTTCAAACCGGAAGTGATTGTATCTCCATTAATATTAAAGTTAAATATGTCGAGTTTGGACTCATTTTAAAGGATTTTTTATGAAGTTGACAAATATGTCAAAATTAAAAGTTGAAAGTTCGAACTTTTTGGTTTCAAGTTTGGACTCACTTTAAAGGTTATTTTATGAAGATTGCGAATATAATAATAAAATTAAAGTTAACATTGACAACAGAAAGTTTTTTTCACGACTAAACCCGAATTGTAGGTTCATCTATTTTTTCTATTGTAGAATTTCTTGGTGTATCTAAGTGTCGTATCTAAGTCGGTTCTTAGACGTATGATGCAAATAGGACTTGAAATCGCATAACGTGATAGGCGCTTAGCTTTATCCTTTAAAACAAATGGTATTTTAGGTATTTCGGTATTCTGGTTTTTTTCTAAGATAAGTTTACCTACCAGACAGCATGAAAATCTCTAAAAACGATAAAATGTCACTTAGTCAAGTGATGTATAACGCGGTACAACTAATAATCAATAAATTCTCTCTTGAGTGATTTTTCAGCAAACATTAAGGGGGTCCCAACTCAACCCCTATAATACTTTGCATCAGAACTTTTTAATGCGTCTACATTTTGCTATTTAAAAAGAGGCATTCAATACGCAAGTTATTTGTCTCTTAACATTTTCTCTTAAAATCACAAAAAAATAAAATAATACACAAGCTCAAGTGAATTAATTCAGAGATTGGTTATTACTAGTCAAAGAAATGAAGTTATATCAAATTGATCTCAGCATTATTTTATTTTTTGTGATCAAACTAACAATTTGTTAGTTGTAAAGTGTCAAGAGATAAGAAAGTTGCAGATAGCTTGGAGGAGAAGAGGTGTTGAACAAAAGTTATATGAAAGACACCCTTAATTTTTGCAGAAAAATCACTCCTTGTAATCTTTCGTATCAATTTAGAAACATCCTGTATAAATGTAAGATTTCAACACTCCCCCTCAAGGCCAATCATAGTTATAAACTTTTCTAACTTTGGTTTTGGTAACGGCATTGTTATCATTTCTTGTTTGACTATATTTTAAATTGATAATGTTATCTTCCAAATTTTTTCTTATATGTTTTTATTTCTTGGATTTTTAACCAATTTCCACGTCTTGTTCTTAATCAGGGCTGTTATTTCATTTCTTATTGCTTTTTTCCATTCTTTTACAGCTTCCTTTAAAGAAATTTCTTCAATATTTGTTTCCAAATTTGTATCGTCGTACATAGTGGTCGTTGTAATACATTTATGTTATTTTGGTTTTTAATATTTATTATTTCATCTGGTTCATTTGCTATCTTCAATTTGTACATTTTTCTTGGTCTACCTTTTTTACTAGTTTTTTTCTAATGTAGGTCTACCTCTTCTTATTTTCAATTCAATTTCTTTTTCTGTAGTTTCTTTTTCACACTTTTCATTTTGATTTAAGTTTATTGGATCTTCTGGGTTTAATACTGGATTTAATGGTGTATTTTCTATTTTTTCTTGATTTATATTTTCACTAATGATTTGGGAATGTTTTTACAAAAAATTGTACGTTTTTTTTTTAATTTTACGTTTCTACTGAATATTACGTTTCTTTTATTTGGAATATAGTAGATGAATATGTAGATGAAGGAAATTTTGTTTGCACATGTTTTCCAGCGATACACCATTCACATGGTTTCAGCTTGTTTTTCTCGTTAAAATTCAAGATTTTTGTTTTCTTTAAGACTTTTTGAAGAGGTCTTCTTACATACATCTTTTATTAAATTTCCTTCTTCTTCTTTAACATACATTAACTTCTGTTTTACATAACTCCTATAACATTAATGCCATTTCAACAGTAATGTATTTTAAACATTTCAAACTTCTAAGATCTAATTATTTTCTTTTTTTAGTTAGTGATAATAAATCGATTTTATCAGTATTTCACATAAACCTACTTGAACATATGATTATGTGCCGTTTAGTTATGGGTAATAAAACGATGGCAATCCAAGAAATTTCAACGTGCGCCACGATTTGCAAAGATAATCCAAAATTACTTGACACGCATAGTACTCAACTACACGCACTTCTCGGGTTATATTCGATGAATATGAACTGTTTTGAAGCCGCTGAAGCTCAATTTAACATCGTCTTATCTGTAGGTTTATTAAAATTACATCAACTTTTTTTATGTATCTTCATTTTTAGACCGCCCAAAGTCGAGATTTATTCACATTTGGAAATCTTAACTTAGCCATCATTTTTTTAAGAAATAAACGCGAATCGGAATTAAATAATATATTAGATCGGATTCTTCCGGATAATTTACCATCAATTTCGCAAAGTTTACGAGCAGCTGCTTATTATGTTCAAGGGCTCCAAGCATTTTTTGAAATGAGATTTAATGACGCAAAGTAAGTTTTTTTCACAACATATAGAGTTTGTGTATTACAACATATAGAGTTTGTATTTATATAATTTCTAGAAGATTTTTAAGAGAAACTTTAAAAATGGCAAATGCAGAAGATATGAATCGATTAACATCCTGCTGTTTAGTGTTATTGGGACATGTATTTCTTTCATTACGAAATCATCGTGAAAGTATGAATATGGTTTCACCGGCCATGCAATTGGCAAGCAAAATACCGGATATTCACGTTCAATTATGGGCTTCGGCAATATTAAAAGATCTTTACCAAATTTGTGGTGATCCACACAGAGAGGGTGAAGCTTATCAACAACATGTGCATTTTTCTCAAATGCTGTTGAAAGAACATTATCAAGCTTCGAAGCTTCCTGCTCATAATTTAATTCATTGGACTCAAGGACCAGTTCCTCCCAGTATTACACAACCCAGTTCATCATCACCAAGTACTTCTTCAGCTGGTACAGCTGGTACAGCTGGGACAGGTGGTGCTACACCATTGGGTTAATTTATTTATGTTTAGGTAAATAAATAAGATTTTATATTATTCTTTAATATGACTTTACGAGTTTATTTATTGTATATTTTAACCAGATTTAATAAAACAAGTTTTTTTTTTAAATTTTTAAATAAGGTAAATTACACTTATTAAAATCAAAGTTCCCCAATCACACGCTTTTCTATTAATCAAAACAAATAATAGAAATATTGTAATAACGAAACGGATTTTAAACGATTTTATCGATCTTACTAATATTACTAAAGTAGTAAACATCGTAAACATTAGTAACATAAAATCGTTGAGAACAGCTCCAGTTTTCTCGACGTTTCGTAAATGTGTTATACATATCCCTACTAATATAATAAAAAAAATATTTTTTAACGAAAACAATCCCATGGTTTTGAATTTCATTAACTTTTATCTTTTAGTAAACTAACAATAATCCGACGATTGTTAAGGTACTCCACTGAAATGGTTCACGACCGTATAAAAACGCTAACAAAGCACCAGATAAAATTAATCTTAAAATATATGGTTTTATAAACCGTACAATCAACACTATTATTGTAAACGCTATCCAAAGAAGTATTACTAAATCAGCAGTAAAACCGGCGTCTTTTTCAATGCTTTGAAGTCGAACAATGGCTGTTATTACTAAGATGGCGATAAATAAATTTCGAAACGTAAATATCCGCTTTGTTGAATCAAAAAATAAATTACTCATTTTAAGCCATTAATAATCTAAAAAATAAAGAAATAAATTGATGTGGGCGTGAGAATATAAAATTAATTACCTTTCGAAGAATTTTAGGATTAAAATAAGATATAGAAAAGAAACATTAAATTTGACGAGGTTGACGTGGACTTATATTTGAAGATTGTTTTATCTTTAAGGTGAATAATGATAAAGTCGTTGAAATGGACTAGATAACAATACTTAATTATTATTCATATCAACGAATACAATCTTAAGTCTTGGTGGACAATTTTCTTTAAAATAATCGCTTAAATTTTGCTTAAACGTTAAACACACGTAAAATATGGAGCCTTTTGGAACACATCTTCCTCTTAAATATTTATGGCCATAACGCAATATCTTAATCTTTGGAGTTCACTACAAACTGTTTGAAGATACAGTATTCATAAATACTTACTTTGATTAAAAATAAACAAAAACAACGCTCTTTACTTTAACGTTTAATCAAATGAATGAACGACACACATACATTGTCACAATAAAGTCTCGCAAACAAAATTGATGAAAGAAATCTAAAACAAAACGTTTCTTTTAGGCGCATACGATAAGTCTGGTGAATATTGAACAAATTTAAAAAATATGTGTACATTTGTATTTTATAACAAAAATCTGTACTTTATTTACTTGTTGGAATTCAATCTTTTAGTACAAGAAGATTTAAAAACTATAAACTTAAATTCAATGAGTAAAAACCAGTCACTTAGAGTGTGGCAGAACAGAATATCGATTACTTTGCCTAATATAAAAAACAGTTTTTACTTCATAAAAAAACCTTGGCCAAAACGATTTTTAATTTGTTAAACAGTGTAGTTTATTGTTTAGTTTTTTATCACGTAACATTATAGTATAGGAAAAAGAGATACTGGTTTAGGAGATATTTTTCATAACATTACTAATTAATTTAATTTTTTAGCAACTATCGCCAATGTGTCGGAAATATATTGATAATGGCTTTAGATATCGTGATTGAACACAACTTCATTTTCACTGATTCATTAAAACTATTTTCTAATAGAGTTAAATTAAAACGTCAATTAAGTTTGAACATCTGCCATATTTGAAAAATGCAGATTTTTAGATCATAGTGATAATTGCTAATAAAACGTTTAAATCAAACTATTTTCTTATTTATATGTTCAAAGTTTACATATTTTCTCCGTTAGACCTCGTTATAATGGATTTCGGATATAACGGACAAGATATTTTTATGTCATACTATTATTATTATCTATTTAACCCTAGAAAGATAACCATATTTTATAGTACGTTAAAAATAACCAGTCGAACACGTCGAATCGACGTAGGTTATCTTTCTAGGGTTAATAGTAGTACATTAGTATATTTAAATATAAATATTAGCGTTCATAGAATCCCCCAAGTTGCTCTATTCCGTGTTCATAGATAAACGATGTATAAATCAAGGACGGTTCAAAAAACTGATAAACCTAAATGTAACAGAAATTAAAAATTTGCATACATATTAAATAAAAATTAGAAACCACGCCTATTATAATTTCTGAATTAACTTCGTATTAACACACACATACAAAAAACTGAGTGCAGTGGGCGATATTACGATATTGATAAAATGTGATTAATTGTTACAATACATTAAAATGTAAAATGACGATGAAGTTTAATAAAAAGGCAAGACAATTATTGTATTATTAAAAAGTTTTTATTTCGACACAAAATAGAAGATAAGATAAGTGATTTCAAACAAACAAAATTTTAAAAAACTTAATGGTGATGATTACTTCAAATTATTAAAAACGCTATGGTATGGTTTAATCATTTCTTCTGATTGGAATTCGATGAGTCAGTTTGAGTTCTATTGGTATTAGAATTTCCAGAATCTACAAGAACAAAGAATAAGATCAAAAATATATCTATATACATTTTTAATAAATACTTATTTTATTTAAATTACTGTAAAAAACTTACTTGTACTCTGATCAGATGGTTTTTCAGAATAACCTCTCGATTGCCAATAAGCATCGTTATTTTGATTAAGTTGTCGGGCACGATTATCACGAGTTGGTTTATCCATCTTGACTCGATTTCTTTCAATTCACATATGTTAAATCGAAAGCAGTGCCAGTTATTTATACCAGTTAGTTGGTCTTTGTTAGGGGAATCCCTTGATTCTGAACTCAAAAGACTGTTGATCTTAAGAGGCCTACCTAGCTGGCGAAAAATTCGAAACGGGATTCGCTCGTGAACACGCCTAATGCGGCAACACCGCTCCATGTGTACTCGATCGGGCTGGCGCGCCAGGTCGATGGCGACTAGGACTGTCCGATTGTCGGGTAATTCCCCGACAATCAGCGACGTTGATTTTATTCTTAATTGAATGCATTTGAATACGAGTCGGGGCCGCTTTTTGGAACATAGCTGTTATTACTAGTATTTCATTATTATCGATTGTTAGTTAAAATTATATATTTTCTCGAAAAGGGATGTTGGTGGATGCCGATCTTATCAGATTCCTCATTATAAAATTTCACAGTATACCAAATTTTATCTGTATATGACAAATCACTGAAATTATTGAAGGTAATCTATACCTTAGGCATTTATTATTACACTTATTAGACTGAAATTATAACACTTTAAAGTTTTAATTTTTATATCATAATTAACTGCTACATTTTTTCAAAACACATAAATATTACAAATATTGTTCAAAATAGCCTCCTTCTGAAGGAGGAATACATGCTTCACAATGACAAATTAAAGAATTCTTCAGACGAATTAAAATGTCTGGTTGATTTCTTGTTTCAGTAGCAGCCATTTGTATTCTGTTTAATAACTGTTCTCGTGTGTTAATTTCCACTTCATACACAATTTGTTTCATATGACCCCATAAGTAGAAATCCAATGGATTAAGATCGGGGGATCTAAGTGGCCAAGCAAATGGACCATTATTACCAATCCACTTGTTTGGAAAATATTGATTTAACCACTCGACAACTACTCTTCCGTGATGAGGTGGGCATCATTGTGCTAGTACCAGATATTTTGAATTACATTAAGAGGTATATCTTCAAGTAAATCAAAAAGAGTATTGTTCAAAAAAAATCTGTAATTTACAGCGTTCAAACGTCCATCAAGTACAAGCAAACCTAGTAAATTGTTGTTAAATATTCCACCCCAAACGTTGATGCTGAAACGTTGAAATTTTCTTAGTCTAATCGCATGCGGATTTTGTAATGCCCAGATATGTTCATTATGGTAATTATTTATACTATCTCGTGTAAAACATGATTCATCTGTCTAGAGAACATTTGAAATGAAGTCATTATTTTGAGCATGTTACTACAATAATCATTCACAAAATGCTAACTGTTGCTGATTATCTCCTGGCTGTAGAGCTTGAACGTTCTGTTTACGATGCGGATGAAGGACTTGGCGGTTCAATACGCGCCATGCAAAATTTTGACTTACATGTATGTTGTGTGCTATTCTTCGAGTGCTGATATAAGGATTATCAATGACAGCATTAATTACAGTTTCTTCGTCCTCTACATTAACTACATGCGGTCGAATAGGATTACCTGTTTCTCGAAGTCTTCTGAAAGAATTGCTAAAAACTGAATAATATGGCAAATGACGCTGTGGAAATCTTTCTTGATATTCTGGTACTAATTGTCGAGCATTTCAATTGCAAAAACCATACACGAAAATTATATCAGCATACTCTTCAGTGCTATAAGCGTATATAGATTTTGAGTTTCTTCTTGTATGTAATAATTACAGCAAACTGACATATTACAATGACAAGTTTTTACTGACTATTAATACATTCGCTGCAGAAAACTTTAAAGTGTTATAATTTCGTAAATAATTGAAATAGGACATATGTTCAAAAATCATCCTGTATTTAAAGATTAAAAACGTTTACACTAGTTGTCATAATTTTTGCTCTAGCAGTATATGTGGTTGAAATTATGCCACCACTTACAGAACCACCATATATTTTTATACAGGGTGCCCATTATTTATGGAATATAGTATATATCTCGGTAAATGTTGACTTTATAAAAAAACATTTTATACAAAAGTTGTTTAATATTTTATTTGCCATAATAGGACAGCAACACAACATTCAATTGTTTATATTTCAGAAAACAAATGAGCAACGAATAACACTTGAATTGTTTTAAATGGCAATGTACCCTTTTGTTAGGTTCATTTGATAGAGATTGTTTTTCTCCAAATTTTAGTACCCTTATATCAGAAAATTTTTGAAAAAATGCAAAAATTGTTTATTAAGAAAATTTTTAGTTTTTTATGAGTTAATATATTTTTTTATTATTTATGTTGTATTATTTATTTTAAAATATACCTTTGGTATTTATTTTAATAATTAATCTAATAGTAAATGATCAGCTAATTGTGCAAATATTCTCATTATTAAAAATTTATTGCCACACTTAAACATTGTTTTGCATCCTACGTAAATTAAATGTTTAAATTTAAATTAGTGATATAAAAATTTTTTGATCTATCTGAAAATATTAATCGCTTCAGGTTTCGGGCAATGTTTGGGACGGAGCAATATTTGCGATGTTGCCGTATTTATACTCCGAAAGCAATCAAAACCGACTAAACGTTTTAAACCCATTTTATTTAAATTTGCTGCATTTAATAAAAAAATTGAATTCTTTAAATATGATTTACTTTACATTTCACTACCTGGTGATGCATTCCGTTTTTAAAAATTTTTTAAAACGTGATTTTAGAAACGTTACGCGACATTTTTTGAAAAAACTAAATGCATCACTAAAAACTATATAAAAAAATACAAATTTTGATGTAACAAACATACAAAAATTTTAAACGATGGCTGAATAAAATGGTATTCGTTGTTTTCGCTAATAGGTTATCCTCTTAACGTAAAGATAATACTGTTTAAAAAATTTCAGATAATTAACATAAACTGAAAATTTTATTTATTTACAACACAATTAAACGTGTTTTCAATCAAATTCATTTATCAAACCCAATTTTTTAATCGCTATCATTTAGGTTTATCAGTATTTTGAACCGGTCTTGATTTATACATCGTATAGACACTTCGGGGAATACCCCGAGTTTATTTATGAACATGAATAGAGTGACTTGGGGGAATAACCTGATTTGGATTCTATCTATGAGCGCTAACATTTTTATTTAAATATACTAATATATTAAATAGATAATATTAATAGTATATAGACCTATATGACATAAAAATATTTTGTCCGTTATATCCGAAATCCATTCTAACGAGGTCTAACGGAGAAAATATGCATTTCACACCAAAAAATGTAAAAATAGGTGGAGTTATTCTTCAAATGTGGCACATTATCAAAAATGTAATTGCTGTTTTAATTTAATTCTACTAGAAAATAGATTTCACTATAGTTTGCCCAAGTTGCTTTATTTCATATTCATAGATAAACTCAGGGTATTCCCCGAATAGTCTATATACTACATACGATGTATAAATCAAGGACAGTTCAAAAAACTGAAAATCAATACAACTCAAAGATACTCATCGGCTGCCAATCAGAAGAAATGATTAAACCACACCATGGAGTTTTTAATAATTAGAAGTAATCATAACCAATAAGTTTTTTAAAATTGTGTTTGTTTGAAATCACTATGTGTTATCTTCTATTTTGTGTCGAAATAACTAAAAAAAATAGTTTGACAACAGATAACATGTTATGTAATATAAATCTTATTCCAAATAGATAAAGTCAGGGGAATACCCTTTTTACGTTATGAAAATTGTAATAAAATGCAACTGATAATTCTAAACCGTAGCGATTAAAAAATTGGGTTTGATGAATCAATACCTTTAATTATGCTATAAATAAATGCAATTTCCAGATTATGTTAAATATTTCACCGTTTTCTTTTTATTTAAAAATTGTTTTTTATTATTACGTTAAAGAAAACAATTTTTTAGTTCAGAATTGAGGGATTTATCTTATAAAGAACAACTGATATAAATAACCGGCACTGCTTTCGTTTTAACATATGTGAATTGAAAGAGATCCGGTTAAGATGGATAAACTAACTCGTGATAATCGTGCCAGACAACTTAATCAAAATAATGACGCCTATTGGCAATCGAGAGGTTATTCTAAAAAACCATCTAATCAGAGTACAAGTAAGTATTTTACATTAATTAAAATAAAATAAGTATTTGTTAAAAATATATTAACAATATATAGATTCTGGAAATTCTAATACCAATAGCACTCAAAACCACACCATGGAGTTTTTAATAATAGTTATAGTAATCATTGCTTTTTATATATATTTTTTTGTTTAAAGTCATGTCTTCTATTTTGAGTCGAAATACAAACTTTTTAATAATACTGTATTACTGTGTTTTTTTAACTAAAGCTTGTAAAAAAATTCAGACAATTTTAGAAAATATAAATGGTAAGGTGTCATACATTTTAATGATTTTTGGTACATTAAGGCTTAAATTAATAAAAGATCCTGGCATAAGTGAACCAAACTAAATTAAATTATTTGAATAATTAAACTCATATCATTTTACTGTCAACATACTTTTGAATGAGCTAACATTTAACCACTATGCAGCAGCTTTACCGTATCCTGAGAAGAATATCCCCTTGCTTGATGCTTTAACTTTTCTTGTTATGCCTACTCTTTCATTGCTGGAACCCTTGAGAGTCGTTTCCAAGAGAAAATGGTAACCACTTCTCGTAGCATGTCCTTAGGTATTGTGCACAATTTTATATTCAAATTAGGAATTAGTCAACACCAGATTGTTTCTAACAGCTTTTTGCTATTTCTAATTAGGTGTCTTAAATTCCATATTTTAAAAATCCCTTTCCACTCTTGCGTAAACATTTTCAAAACGTTTTTTTTTTGTTTTGTAACTCGCACATAATCGATAAATTAAACCATAAACAATAAAACAAAGTTTTGTTATCTTCTCCACTAATATTCGCTCGCAGCGTATAAAAGGAGCCCAAACTAATCGTTTCTACACAGTACAATTCGTACAGCCATCGACTTATTCACCAAGTAAAAGATTTTTACACCATCATTGATAAAGCGGAAATGGATAATCACGCCAATCAGATGAATCCCAATAATGAGGCTTACAGGAATGTTCGAACTGGTAATAAATTCTCTTTTTTTAACAATAATTCTAAGTTTGTGTATTAATTTTTGTTTCGTTTTAAAGCTGACGCTATAAAATCTAACGTGGATCATAGGTCCGACCAAATGAATCCAAATAATCGTGCTTACCATAACGTTCAAACAGGTAACATTTCATTTTTCTATAATAATTCTAAATTTGTGTATTAATTTTTGTTTCATTTTAAAGCTGACGCTGAAAAAGCTGGCGTGGACAACAGGTCTAGGCAACTTAATCCTAATAACGATGCTTATTCTCAATCTCGTCAAAATTAAAATTTATTGTTCTATTGTTTTTTCTAAACAGATAAATTTGTATTTACTCTTAATCATTATGAATAAAATAAATTAAATATAAATATTTCTTGTTTTATGTCTAATGAAAAGGTTTATTTTAAAGTACTCCTAATGTTGTCAATTTTAAATTGACCCAAATATCTAATTAAAAAGCTGATTAAAAGTAGCCATAAAGGCACAACTAATTTTCTGTTTCAAAGCTACAATCAGATCTAACTGAAATAAAAAGGTTATCCTAAAAATAGTTTAAATGGACATAATAAGCCAGTTATCAACTAACAATAAGTATCATTTTAATGGTATCCTTGGTGTATATGTCTATGATTTGTGTTGGTACATTTTTATCTTCTAATATATTGGAGGGATTATTAAATTCTTTTGGTTTTTCTATAATCTGCTTAATAATTTTATTAAAATTGCATCTGTTGTGCATCTATTCTTCCAGAATCCCTACTGCGCTTCTATTTTGAGTATTCTTTGTAGATATTCATGTATTATTGATGTAAATACTTTTATGGTGTATTACTTATTAAATATATTTTAAAAGAAAAATTATGTAATGATACTTTGGTGATAATTTATTAATTTATCGTCTAGACCTGGTTTCTGACCTTGCCCTTCATCAGTAGATTAGACCCACAGAGCACCTGTGATTAGACCCTACAATGTACAAAAATATAAGATAGTAACATTAGAAAAAATTAAGATTAAAGTAGCATTGAAAGTAATGTATATAAAAAAACTTAAAAACTAAACTCATGTCAACATTAAAACTTTGCAAAACATATATACAATATTCACATTAAGATATCAGCAAACAAAGGTTCTTAACTAGTTAATTGGAATGGACTTGATATTATTAAAAGAAAACTGTTGTTAAACATTGAATTTATAAATCAAGTCTCGATATTAGAGGTTAAATTCAAGTTCAGTGACAAGATGAATTGTGGGTAAAGTAGATAACTATTGTTACAGTTAGAAACACAGTATAAATTTGAACTTAAATGAACAAAACTAACACAAGACAAAAAGTAATTAGTAATAAAATCCAAAAATTTTGAATCTACTGATGAAGGGCAAGGCCCGAAACCAGGTCTAGACGATAAATTAATAAATTATCACCAAAGATCATTACATTATTTTTCTTTTAAAATATTAACACATGGTGAAAATATATCCTATTACAATTATTAAATATAAATGAATTATTCTTAAGTATTTTTAAAGCACTTAACTTTACTCAAGAAAACTTCAAATATTTCATATAAAACAATTTATTTACTTAACTTTTACATTAAAGCTTAAATGAAAAAGATAATAAAAAAATAAAACCTAGATTATATACAAAGAATTTTTTTAAATTAATTATAAAGTTTATTATCTTAATGTATTATAAATAGCTTCGTCTGAATCTGATTGAGTAACACTATCCCCATTAGAGCCTAATTTAACGTAACAGTACTCGCTACTTTTATTGGTACAATTCTTTTTAGTCCTTTTACACTGACAAATTTGTTTTCTATCACACGTATCATTCGAGTTTTCACATATTTCCGCGTAAATATTTTCATCGGGAATCTTCTTTTCTCCACTTCTATCCTCTCGAATCTCATCGGCCACTTGACTATAAGGAATATCATCAATTTCCGGTCCTTTTAATTTCTTCAACATTTTCGTTTTCGAAATTTCATTGTGTACTTGAACCACAACTGATTTAACATTAGTATTATGATTAGATCTAGTTAATTCTTGTTTGATTTCATTTGGTTTTGTAATGATTCGTTTTTGAACTTTCGTTTTAACGTGAAACTCGGAACATAAACGATCGGTAATATAGGAATTATCATCATTTTTTGGTAAAGTCGGTATCAAATCGGGTTTAGATTTTTTTAATGGTTTAATATTATCTGAGTTTTCGACGATTTTTATTTCGTTTAAATCTTCTTTTTTAATTAATTTATCGTGTTGGAGTGAATTGTCGTTTTCTAAGATGCACATTTGAAAATCGAAGCTAACGTTATCGGAAACGTTTGATTTTGAATGTCTTCGCTCTGGTTTTGGTGGGGGTTGTTTTTTCGGTTCATCGATTGTGTAAATTTGAGCATCTAAACTTTGGCATTTTAGTAATGTTGGTGAACTTTTCGATTCTGTTGAATTTTCTTCTAAATTTATGGGTTTTGTTGAAAACATGAAACTTGCTGATTTTTTAACGGGATTATAACTTCTTTTGCCGAATCTTTCTTCTATTAATCTAGACATATCTTTGTATCTTTCTATGCTTTTTATTTTTTCCATTCCATCTAATCCATTTATTTCGTCTATTTCGGTGTATTTATCCAAAGGGTTATCCGATTTAATCCCTAATTTAACTAAATGTTTATACCATTTTTTTGATTTTGGAAACTTTTCTATAACTTCTTTTGTAATTAATTGCTTTTTATTTATTGATTCTTGCCCGTCTTCAATTTCTAAATTCGCCAATTTTTGTTGTTGAGAACGACTAGATGACGATGAAGAAGAAGTTTGTGGTAAATTACCAATTATACTATTTATATTATTACTACTAAGTGGTTGTAAATTTGGAGCTATTCTTACTTCTCTATACCAAGTTTCTACGTTTTTGTGACAATAAGCTAGAGCTGTTTGTAATCTTTGCGATTTAAATAAACGGTTTTCTGATTCAAACCCTAACATACTCCTTGTTAATTTTACCCCAGAATTCAAATTAATACAGCTTATGTTATGTTGAGTCGAATCTGATGAAGATGGTAATGTACAAGTTACCATTAAAGGTTCTTGAATTTTTTTCTCTAAGATAAAGGTATCTACAAAATAATCGTTTTTATTAAAACAACTTTTTAGTTACTTAAAAATTACCAGAAAAATCTTTGGGTAATCCAGGTGGTAAAGGTCCAGATAACAATTTAACTTTAACTGGAAGAGCAATCCGTCTTAAAAGATGCGTTATTTTGTAAAGACAATCTTTATCAAGTGCTAAAGGTCCCGTTTTCTCTAACAATCCTTGAAAACAAAGTCTCGCCTTCATCGAACTGTGCGTTTCGTAGAATTCACCTTTGGTGGTAAGTGGAACGTAAAATTCCTGTCAAACATAAAAATGTCTAGTCGAGTTCAATGTTTTAAATAACTCAAAGCATAATATTTGCGTAAATTCACTTAAAAATTTTGATATTTTCCACTTACCTGGTTATTTTGGCTTATTATTTGAGCGTATCGATTTGCTAAATCTTTATCCCGCGCCGATCGAGACACGTGTGATGATTTTGTGGAGTGCCTTCCATTATCTAAGTGCTCTTTATGTTGGAAAACTGCTCTTAATTGGAATAATTGACCTCCTTTAACTTGTGTTTTTAAATATTGCACCTTTCCTGGTATTTCAGCTATAAAGAAAAAGATAAAAATAGAACTTTATTTATTATAAATATAAAAAAGTAAACAATTTATCAAATAATAAATGAATGTTGTCACAATATTATAACGGATGTCAAAATACTTATAGAAAACTGACAATAATAAAACAAATATTTTTTGTAGGTTTGTATAAATTAAATTTTTTTAACAAAATGATAGACCCCTATAATAATTTCTTATTAGTATATTTTAATCTATTAACTTTGCTGATTTGGGGCAAACCCATCATCAGAGGAGAAATGTTAATTTTGATAAAGTATGCAATAAAATTACTTTTTTATGATTAAAATTGTTTTACTTACCACCTGGATCAGGGTTATGACCCGCATAAGCCGTAAAAGGTTGTAAACTTAAAAAAGAACACACTTGCTCCCTTACAAGTTGTAAAATTGACGAGTGTGCAATGGCTGACTTTTCCCCCTTTTCGTTAGTAAGCGAAAACCAACCTAAAAAGTAAAAAAAAAAACAAATTTAATAAGCTTTTTATAATAATAATTAAAAAAATGTATTAAGATATTAAAGAAAAATGTGCTCGCGGCTAAAAGAAAAAAAGAAAATGATTTAATGCTTGAAACGGTTACTTTTCTTTTATTTTAATTTTAATTTAAAACGTAAAACGCGGCAAAGATCTTGGTTTCTGAGTTCTCATCGCCGAGGAGACCGTAAAAGCGAATTTTACGCTTCGCTCAGATATACCTATAATTACAGTACATACATTATGCATTATTATCTTTTAACACTCTCAGTCGGAGACGGGAATTTTCGCGCGCTTCTTATTATACAAATCACCACCCACGTGCTTGCATTATTTTCTTTCGTATTTTTATCGACGAAAAATAATTTAAAATTCATTCATTGATTCGCGATTAAAACCGTTAAAAGAAAAATTTCGAAAAAACGTTCGGATCTTTCGAAACACATTCTTAACAATCAGATAATTACACACTAACAATTTTAGTTATGGACGTTAAGAAATAAATTAAAAAGACGACAAAAATACCTGTTTGTATGTGTGTCGAGATGAAAATACGTGATCGCAATTAAGATTAGCCGACGATTTAACAAAGATATACGGGTATCTTTGTTCTGTTACCAACGGCTCAAGACATTTTTTTAACTCCCATTCTATCTTTAATTAATTCTTTTTAATTATTACAACTTATATATCATTTTGGTTTTATTTATTTTATTCTTTTTAATTTTATAAGACATAAAAATTGCGAAAAGAATTTCCCAACAAAAACTACTTGAAGACGGTGGGAAGTGTTACGAGGATTTGGATAATAAAAATTAACAATAGAAAAAAAGAATAATGATGAGAAAAACCTTATTAATCTTACAAAACAAAAAATAGCTTGAAATTTTAAAATTGTAACTTTAGATGGAGATTCTTCTTGATCGTTCTACTCTACTACTTACTCGTTCTTCTGCTTCTCTTAACACAGAAGGTCGCCCGAGTAATAAAGCTTTCTTATAGCAGAAACGGCGTATACGCCTTGAGCCGACCAACCTTGATTTAAGGGATATTTCTGAAACGCGAACAGCCCGACCGAATCTCTCTCTTTCTTCTTCGTCGTACTATGTCCCGTCGTCTCAAGAGAGACGAGAAAGATTTACGCACTAAAAGCCCCTAATATATTGTTATGTGCGTAATGAAATGCGCGATTACTCCTCGTAAATTACCGTGAGTTATTGGCGGCTCTACGTTTTCTCTTTTTTCCATTACAAAAAGTCATTATAAATATAGATTCGCTAATCCTTTAAATCATTTTAATACATAACATATTCATTTTACATATATATGAGATTTAACCATTAGATTTTTTTAATTCATTAGTAGTTATTCTTAAACGTTACCTATTAAAGTTAATTAATTAAATCATTGACAGCAGAAACTATCTCAGTCATGTTTTCTAATAAATACAGCAAAACCTTAATATAACAGACCTAGAAACAATCGGGTTTAGCCGTACGTCTCTCTTAACTAGTATTAGAACTAACACTAGACCTAGAACTAGATCCATTCCCCGTATTAATCCGTTATATGGAGGTAATACTATATAGACATTACGCACAAAGTTGCAGTAGACAAGAATATGTAGTGATAATCTCTTTAAAATTCTTATTCCATTTGTAATAAGTTCTACATGACATCTAAGTCTTGGTGTCTTTTTAGTTATAATTATCTCTCCTTTGGAGTATTCTTGATTTAGAACTCTTGGGATTTAACTTCTCGACCTAATCCTTTGAAATCTCTGACAACTATTCTGTACTTTGCTTTGAAAATTATCCACGAAAACAGAGTATAATAAAGTTTTTGCGACCAAATCAACAGTAAATATAATTACTTAATCTCTTAGGTGTTCATAAAAATGTAGAATAAATTCTTTTTATAACTTCTTGAGCTTTCACTGCTTCTGTTACTAAAAAAAAAATAACTTAAAGTAGAAACTTCCAGGTTATGATATATTAAAATACTGCTTGACGTTTCCAATCTCATGTGGAAAAGCCTGAACATGAACTATTCATTCATGAACGATCATATGAGATTAACTTACTCACAAGCTCTGTTAAAGCTTGTGCAAAAATACGATGATTTCGTACCCAACCCAAAATCATAATAAGCCCATTTTCATTTAAATGCTTATGTAAATAAACAAAATTTGGGCTTCTGCAGGACGGAGAATCGACATAAATTGCATGAAGAGGTATTACATCTCCTCGGTTTGGGGCTATATTTTGCATAAAATCGTAATCATTGCAAATCTTGAAAGCCAACATAGAAGAAGAAATTGCCTAGATGGAGCTAAATGGAGCTATAAAACGGCAGACAATTCACATTCATCATCATTGGCACCCAAACCCCTGGTGAGCCTTGGCCTATTCTTCCACTCTCTTCTATCTCGTGCCTTGGCTTTCCATTTTCTAACTCTCAGCATTTTCAGACTTTCTTCCACCTGGTCCTTATACGCTTAATACATATTTAAACACTTTTCCAAAAGACGCACGGCTTAACCCGAAAGTTTCTAGTTCTAGATCTAGTGTTAGTGCTAGTGTTATTAATCATTTGTATGAATTCAAACGAATTTATTATTACTTACCACAATATCCTTCCGGAAAAAATAATTGATTCCCATTCATTTTTTCCTTCCTTTTCTTCCCAATAAATCCGGTAGCTTGAACCTTGGTAAAACTATCAATACATCGATATAATAATAAAGGTTCCCCATTTTCCACTCGAACCACCCTAGGTAACGAAAACCTTTCCAAAAAATCTTTAGCATTATACTCCTGTCGTTTTTTATTATTCAAATCTCGATCTCCGGTATTTTCTGGGCTCGTCTCCATATCTCTTCTTTTATAACCAACAGATTCAAATTCATTTAATTTTCCCGGTTCATCTTCAATACTAACGATCGACGAGTCGTTAAAATTACTAACAAAATTCGAACTATTCAAAAAATTCACATTCGTCGTTGTCGTATGGGAATCGTGCGAATTAAATCTTCTAAGTAAAGCGTGTCTACGATGACCGTTCTGTCTTCGATCGGAACGTTTTTGATGATGCTGCTGGTCTGTGAAGACGAATTGCGAGGCGTCAAAACTGGTCAAGGCGTCGGAGTGACGAAAAACCGGGTTGAAACTGGTCGATGCCACCATCAACGGTGGTCCTTGATGGAGTCTTAGCGATGGCAAAGACGGCATTGAAGAGTTTCTTCCGCAAGTTGTCGTCCCGCCGCTTCGACTCGAACTGCTTCTTGAAGAAACTGTTGCGTTTTGAAACATCTTTTTTTTATTTATTTACTTCGTTCTTCAATTTTTATTTTTAAAGGTAAGTTTATGTGGTTCCCAATTGGGTTTACCATGCGGTGGTTTCTTTAGCTACATTTTGAAGTTTTCTAAAATAAAAATAAAACAAAAATAATTAAAATCAGCAAACCAGTAATTACGGCTAAATTATAGATAAATAAAGATATGTAAACATGGTGTTTGGAACGTTTGGAGATCAAGATTAAAAACGGTATGATAAAAAGTATAAAAAATGGATAAAAAAGGAGTTGGGTGTAATTCTTGTTGACGTGCTCAATTAAGATTTATATTCGCGAGTAGGTACGGTGTGTATGCACGGTGTAATTGCAATCGTCGCCGCGAGTGAGAAGAAACTACGCGGTCCGATTGCGGTTTAAAAAAATTAAACGGAGAGGAGAAAACTCGTACCCGGTTCACCCCGAGGACGTCGTTCGATAAATCATCGACCAGATAGGACAATTGAGAGGTTAATATTTTCTCGGGCGCCCCGACGATCATAATTCAGGGTGCAACGTGCGATGATACCGCTCGCCCCACGGCTAAATGTAACCCTGAAGCGGATCATTTTGAAATTGCGATCGTTATTATTCCGCAAGAAAAGAAGAATATGTACTTATTACTGCTTACCAACGATTTACAAGTATATTCAAGATTTTTAACCGTTTTATTTTATCTTTATCAAAGAAGTTGTTTATAAGTTATGCAAAACTTATTTATAGGTTATGTTGAAAAATCAAACTTCAAATTTTTTTTTTGAAGAGCGCCATCTATTATTTTTGAATCGAACTTGTATACGTCAATTAAAATTGAAATAATTTAATCAAATTATTATAATTTTATGTATAAGAAACTACACATCAATATAAACAATTAAAACAAAAAGTTGTTTATTATGAGTATTAATTTAAAAGTATTAATTCGTATTTTAAGATAAATGGAAATATGAAATTAGCATTGATTTAGAAATGTTACTTTGTAATTTGTGAAGATGAATTTGGAAAGTGCACAAATTTATAAAGCTAAATATGTTTTTAATAATCAATTCATAACAATTATAAGTATAAAACATAAATTATTGTAACTTACGTGAAACTCGTGAATAGGCCACCAATACTACACGGGTGGTACTCAAAGATATAATATATTTTTATTTAATTATTTATTTGATTTCTAACAATAAGAAAAATTGTTTTATCCTATGGGAAAAAATAGAAAGCAAAATATCGAAAAGAACCTAAATGCCTCTTTTTTGAAAAAACAGCGCCATCTCTTGTAGGCGTCGGGAACTCTTTGTGACAACTATTACTTATGACGTTTTAAGTCAAACGGGGTAAGATACTTTATTTACTTTTGTTATGTATAAAAAAGATTAAGTGTTTATTAATATAAGAAAATGGTATATAGACACCCAAGTTCAATGGTGCAACTAATTCAAAATTGGCATGTTTTAGTTAGGCACTTGATACAAAACCATCCACTGATTTGTATACAGTTTGTGTCAAAAGTAACACCCGTCTTATTTGAAAATTTTACTTCAACTTTACTTATTTAAATTGATCACCCCCTTATTATGCATTTTTTAATAGAGTTAAAAAAGACGAACACAATGGTACCCCAAAATCAAGTATCAGGTAATAATGAACAATTAAAAATTTTGAAAAATGATGCGCGCGAAGCTTTTTATAGATTATCCCACCGCAGGGTCACCAGGGTCATTCCTAAGAAAAGATGTTATTATTGTTATAAGAAAGGAATAGTCAGATTGCAGTTTCAGCATCCGGCTTACCGTATATTAAGAATCTATTAGTAGGTACTCCACCATTTACAGTGATTACTATCTTTGTTAAGTGTCGGACACTGCAGATAATAATCAAGTTCAACCCCAATAGGACTTTTTTCCTTTAATACAACTTTATTTATTTAAGGTTTCTCATTAGCAACCTCATGGTAACAATCTCAAAATGATATATGAATTTACTCTTGTTTCAGTTTCTTCTAGTTTTCTTCTCTTCGCTTGTAATTCATCACCACATTCATCACTAACAGACCTGTCACTGTAAAAGCCCTTCCAATAAAAGCCATCTTCTAGCTTTATTTATTAAATCTGTATAAAAAAAGTTCATTTTGTATCTTGGATTCAAATAAATTGCCAAATAATATTGTTTATTGTCTTTTAAGTCTTCAAAACGAGAAATTATTTGTGATTTGAACACATCCTTTGCCTATAATATCTTCTTATGGCCGGATAGACCACAACTTTCTGTTTACTTAATTTCTCTACAATTACGTTTTTCCACTTATTTGCACAATATTGAAGTGAAGTATTGATATGTGATATGAAATAAAAATAAATTTGAAGATTTTAATCATTCCTGACTGATATTGAAAAATATTATTGGAGTAAAGTTGTTTAGTAAGTTTGAGTATTAATTTGTTTTGAAATATTATTACGTGTATTGGTACCGTTATAAAGCGGGTCTATCCAAAGTGATTACATTGAAATACTGTCTTGAATCTAATGGGTTCCCTCTCCGGTTCGTTCTTTGGGTTGGTTCTCTTGGTAACCAGCCGGCAGCAAGGAGCAAAGACGGCGACTTCGTTCGTTCCATAGAAGGTCTTTCGCATACATAACAGACGCCGGTCGGCTAGATATGTATTAACATTGAAACTTTACACAGAAGCTAGATAACATTTAGTCCAGTTGAGAACGGTAGCGATAATTCACTGCGTATGGCCATATAGTGAAGGAAACGACCCCAGTGAATGGCAGGAACACAACTCTAATAGATGTTATAGAAACCGCTATATCATTTTGTATTACTCATTTCAAAATTTTCAATATATTTAGAAACATACGATGAAATGTATATCACATTTAAATTCTCTAGTATTTATTATCAAAGTTATATTTTTTCTCATTTTGTAAATAGTTTTTCAACTATAGTATTTAAGATACTACTAATTTTTAAACTGTTTATGGATGCACCTTTCTGTCCTTTTTCTAGGTTCAAAACGGTGTAGAAGTTTATAGCAAGTACTTCTGCTTGAAAAATGGTTATGTCCGAGCTTAGGGGCAATTTAATGTGGCTCTTTGGCCCATACCTACTCCGGATCCAACTGTCTTTGAAGCATCGATGTAGGGCTCCTGCTTCTAAATATAACCTTATACTCTGAAGTAACTTGAGTGAACTTTCCTCTTTTCCTTTACATTAATTATTAACTTTCATCTTGACCTAAATTTTTCAAACTTTTCACAACAAGAATTGAATGAAGAGGAAATCGTGCTTACATGAATAATGAGTCTTAATGTGCATATAGTTCTGAAGCTCTTATAACCTTCTTAAGTCTTTTTATGATTTTCTTTTAGTTGGATTCATCCACCATAAAGTTCGTGACGTTATGATTAAACTCAACGAAGACTTTATTAACCCGTTTTCTTTGTGCGAATATTCCATGTTGAACTCTTGCGAATTCATGCTATAGTAAAAACATAATTAAAACATGCATTATCCGTGAATTTCTTTGCAAAACCGTTTCAATTTTGGCATTTTCTTGGGAACCATTTCCCAACGACCACTTACAGTCGTCTCGAAATAATTCTCTTCGCCGATTTTCTCCCATATAATCGAGGACGCAACCGAAACAATACGGCTTAGAATTTACAGTTTTGTGAACGCCGGGGAGAGACGATTTCCCATAGTTAAAAATAAGATCCGAAACACGTTCTATAATGCCATTTTATTCTGTTGAGATTGTTGGTGGTTGAGATTTTGTTAGTTGCCAGTTTTCGTTCTCATAAAAATACGATTACATAACAACGAGTTAAATAACTTTTACTTTTTTTTTGCACTACGCCATTGTGTTCCGCCGCCTCCGGGAATCCTCGATACACTAACAAAAAAAATTGAAACAACTCGAAATGCTGTTCATTCTTCTTAATTGCCCGGTAATTGTTAATTATGGTGCTGAGAGGTGCGTTACGTCATTTGTTCAATTACGATCCTTTACGATCTTTATGGGTTTGTAGATAGAACCAGATGCCGATGTCCTGTTTAGTTGGACGAACGAGTATGTCAGGTGTAAATAATTTAAACGATCGATGAATTCTTTTTTTCTTTTTAATATCCTTAAATATATTTCAACTTTTTATTATCGGTGGCTTCTTTAATCGAAATGTTTCTTCAGAATTCAAAAAAATACATTTTTGCAAACAAAAATAAACATTGATTATCTTGTAAATTTTAATTATCAGCTCACGGACTACTCTTATAAAATGATAAACGTTCAAATACTCGTGTAGTTAATCCTCTGGTTCCACTTAACCAACATGATAAATGATCGTCTTATAGGCCTAACTAGAAATCGTATGCAAATTTAATAAACAATTAGATACGGTAGGAATTACCGACTGCGAATCTTAATGGAAAACTATTTAATATTATTGTACTCGTTTTCCTAATGGACGTTCTAATTAAAATTAATTTCTAACCGACATTTTCCTTCCATTATTATTATTAATATTTACCGTTTATCTCTTTAGAGTTAGTGCAGAGATAATTATTGTTTAAAAAGATTATATAACGACGATGTTTGACTTGATTGCGACACACCACTCAGTCACGGAACGACACGGAGCATTAAATATTGAATAGGATTTAATAGATTCAATACATACTATACGTATGCAGTGAATTTCACTTCAAATGCAATATACAAAAATATATTTCATGTGTATTTCATATGTATTTCACATCACATTAAATACACCACGTTTGAATATTTCTAGTTCCTAGTTCTAGTTTTGCACTAGCACTATCACTAGAACAATACAAGGCCTAGAACTAGAATAATTCTGGTTTAGCCGATTTGAGAGACATTCGGCTAAATCCGAATGTTTCTAGTTCTAGGTCTTGTGTTAGTTCTAGTATTGCACTAGCACTATCACTAGAACTAATACAAGACCTACAACTAGAATCATTCGGTTTAGCCGTCTTGAGAGATATGTGGCTAAACCCTAATGTTTCTAGTTCTAAGTCTAGTGTTAGTGCTAAAGGAATAAACCAATTAATATTGAACATTTCCATTCAAT